CCAAGAACTCCACTGCGCCCGCGCCCGCGACCGAGTCGACTTACCCGCTTCTGAACATCACCACTCCTCTTCTTTCCATCACCATTGGTGGTGGCTCCGCTCCCAGCACCGGGGTTCCCAGCAACGAGACCGATGCCGCCTACGACCCATCCACCGACTACACCCAGGACCCCAACTACGTCGGTTCTTACGGTATCCTTGGTGCTATGATGCAAGGTGGTGCCAACGCTTCCCAGGCTCTCATGACTGAGGGTGCTCTTCCCTTGACCACCTGCCTCCAGGGTAAGGAAGCCGCTGGCGAGATTGAGTCGCTCCGTCCTGAACACGTTGAGCCCTACCTCAAGGAGAACCTCTACTACAAGGTTGTTGGTGTCAAGGGCGAGATCGACGCTGACACCATCCCCGACTTCCACATCAGCGTCAAGTGCAACAAGGCCAAGCCCGCTGCCTCTGACGACGAGCTTCCCGACTTGAGCGCCCCTTACGAGGTTCTCGAGAGCGTCACTGCCCACCTGCCCGCCGGAAAGCCCTTCAAGTACATTCCCACTGCTATCGACATTCCTCTGCCCGATGGCCCAGAGTACCTCGAGCCCAGCAGCGACGGCTCTAAGCCCCAGAGCCCTAGCAACGGTGTCTTCCCTTACCCATCCATGCCCTGGGAGGAGGAAGGTTACTGCATCACCAAGCAGACCATTGAGTACGTCGACGAGCAAGGTAACTTCTTGTACTCGGAGATGTAAGGTGGTAGATTTCGGTTATAGAAGAAGAGCGATGTGGTGGAGAAGCATGTGTATGCTTGCGTATGAAGGAACCTTTACATAATACCTTTCGATGTACATTGGACATGAGAGCTTTTTTTTCCTTACAAAATGTCAATTGATATCCAGCAGTGGTTCTCGTATAGTTTTTCCTAACGTCATCGTCTCCTTGATGTCCCTGTCCATAGCGTAGGCGTCCATAGCGCTTTGCAATATGACCATAAACATACTTCTGTTCCGATGCCATGCATGTGCTGCTTTATGACATGAAATTATGAATGCTGGTGTTGTTTCATGAAGCGAGACCTGCCAAATTTGGAATGCCTGCTGTGTCTGTTAAGAAGACGATATGCCCAACTGTGCACACATGTCGGACATCACATAGAAATCGTTTAGCCAAGGCAAGCTGCAGGCATGACGAGCTCCGGCTTGCGTGGACGACCCGTGGACGGCGCTGTGCCCCGCTGGTACCAAAAGGCGCTAGTGACTCTTTGGCCGATGTCTCTGGGCACGCACCGCGAGCACCACATCACGGCAGTATCTCTCATCCTGCTTGACCATTCCTAGGGTCCCTCAGGCATTCCTGCGTAAGTCCTACACCATCGTCGTCATTGCACACCGCATCTACACCTTGTGCTTCTTCAGCATGGCGGCTGAGTCGCGCAGTCGCGACAGCTTCCCGGTCCCAATGCGGGTGCTAACATTTTATGATTGCCATGCTAATATCTCATAGACCAGTCCGCCCGCCATGCCCGCCATGCTAGATGACCCCACCGCGCCGGTGATATATAGGACCTCTGGCGACGTACCGTACCCTCCTCCCGGTGGTCCGCTACCTGTAGGCATTGCACCATGTCAAGTCATCCTGCGCGATCGCGTGACTACCGCAACGATCATACCCTTCTCTGCGCCGAATCAAGTACCCCTCACACTACTGGCATACCTATGCGACCAACTGGGTCGCGAGATAGAAAAGGGAGATACGTACCCCATGGTTGATCCGCTCGCTCTGGAGGCATTCGGTCCGTACTGGTTCGGTGTCTTTGGTGCGATTATGCTGCTGGGGGAGATCCAGGACGGTCGCGAACTACATGAGATGGCGCGGAGGGGTTGTGACTGGGAGAGGGAATGTCTGGGTAGCTTCTACATCAAGCCCAACTACCCAGGACGCTCGAGTCATGTCTGCAACGGCGGGTTCCTGGTCACGGATGCGTCGCGCAATCGAGGTGTCGGTCGCTTGATGGGCGAGACTTATCTGGACTGGGCTCCGAAGCTTGTGAGACCGCCGTGAGAGTTACATCGCATGCGCTAACACCCTCAGGGCTATACCTACTCCGTCTTCAACCTCGTGTACGAAACCAATGTCGCTTCCTGTCGCATATGGGACGCCCTCGGCTTCAAGCGGATCGGTCGCGTAAAGGGTTGCGGTAACCTGAAGTCGTACCCGGGCGAGCTAGTCGATGCTATCATATACGGGAGAGATCTGGGTCAGGATGACGAGTTTGTGTCTGAGGAGCGCTTCGACAAGATCCGCTTCTATCTCAAGAACGGAAAATATCCCAACGGTGCTGATCGGGCAGAAAAGAGCCGTCTCCGTAGCGCGGCGACGCACTACAAGCTCACACCCGGAGAGGGTGATGGACCTGAGAAGCTATGGCTCAAGGGCAAGGAGGTCATTGCGGATCCAAAGCAGCAGTACGAGATCGCTCGGGAGATACATCACAAGTCACACGGAGGCATCAACAAGACCACGGCAGCAATTGCGGAGCTCTATCATTGGGTTCGCATAAAGGAGACTGTCAGCCAGGTCATTCGCAACTGTCCAGAGTGCAGCGAGATGAACAAGGGCCTGTCGGCTATGCGCCAGGGTCAGAATCAAGCACGGGCAGAGGCGAGGTCAGGATCCAGTTTCCTGTCATCAACCACTACCCAGCCAACTCTGACACCAACACCGCCGAGCTTATTCTCACCAACGCAACCACCACCTCGTTCAGACTCGCCGGGTGGCCAGCTACAGCTCGAAGCCGCACAGCACCAGAGCGCAATCTATCCGCAGTACGCCCAAGATAACGGCTACGACCTGCCAGTCGATCCCGCACTCATGCATGGTTTACAGCCTAATACCAACCTCGCCGATCTTCCGCCATCGCCGTTCCTTGCAGCTCAGGCGAACGGCGTACCTCATCTGGGGGAGCTTGACCATCAGCGCATGAGTCTTGATCCAAGTCTAGATGAGCGGGCACCCACTGCAGGGGAGGAGATGCGTAGGAGGTTGAATCGTGTGAGCCAGTATGAGTGAGTAGATGTAGTGTTGTTGGGTGAAGTGTTGAACTCACCAGCGTATGGCGAAGGTGAGTATATCAGTGATACCAGGCATGTAGGCGATGGGAAATGTGTATGAAGAAGCCGCAGGAGAATACGTGGAGGATCATACCCAGGATACAGCGGTGTCTCCGATGATGCAAGTAGCACAACGATGAAATCATTGCAAAATTCTGGTTGATTTGAATCATACTTGTGATGTTGTGTGCTTGATTTGGCATTTATTGCTATTTGACAGTATTTAAGCTAATAGCTACATGTTTATGGCTCTCCCAGCAAAATCGCCGGCTCACATCTTGCCCCTCTCACTGTTTTTGTTCCGCAAGTTCCCCTCTTACATATCTCGACCTAATTTTTCCCTCCATTTCGTTCCTTTCGCCCCCAATCAAACATCTTTAGGTAACCTCTTCCTCTTTCCATTCAACCCTCAAACAGCCCCCACTCCTTCACCTGAAAGCTCTCCAAAACCTGATCCTTGACCGCCTTGCTATCCTTCATTAACTGCGTTTCTCCACCCTGCTGTTCTGCTGGCGTGTATTCGCCTGGGTAGTGTGGGATGTTGACTGATACCATAATCTGCGCGATGTGTTAGTTGACAGAGGAAGGAAATGTATATGACGGTAGAGGGGATAGATACGTACATCAGTACCTTGCTCCTTGAGACGGAGAAGGAGGAGATGAATATACGTGAATTCGGGAGTCTTGCGGTTGGGATGGGGATTGGGTGTTGGTGGTGTTTGGATGAAGGATAGTGCTAGGACTGGCTTGTCTCTGTCATTGTGGTCAGCCATTCATCCACGCTTCTGTATACAAAACTTGATCCTCTCTTTCCTCGGTCCTGCTTCGCTTTTCCAGAATGATGGGGTGGAATACTTACGGCAAACTCTTCATCACAGCACGTCCTTGCGAGATAATCGTACTCTGATCCCCCGTTCCCTCAACTAGATCCCCAAAATGATACTGCAGCGCTTCTTCATCGCTATTCTTCTCGACATACTCTAGGATCTCAACGACGATGCTGGAGTAGCCGTTGTTGTCGAGGTAGACTTCCTGGTGGTCGGGGATTTGGCGGATTTGACTGTTTGTTTACTTTTTCAGTATGCTGCATGTTGGGTTGGGAAAGGTAAGTGCCTGCCGATTTAGGCGTTTTGGACGCAGGTGTTGATGGAAACGCATGCAAAGGGAAGGCGCGGGATGTGGGGGGGCGCGCAGGATGAGAACTTACGATGCGTCGGCGAAGTTTGAAGGCAGGTCGAGGGTTATTGCGCCGCCGTACAGAGGGGTGTTTGTGAAGGCCATCTTGTAGCTTCGTGTTCGACGGTAGGTTTGTTGCTGCTTGTTGCACTCTCTGCAGTGCTAGATGCGGTTCTTATGTTGTGAATTCGATGTTGGTGATGGCGCGAAGGGACGTAGGTAGCCACCAGGCAACATCAGGCAGCATGGAAAACGGCAACCTACCAACGTTCTGTTGACAACGCAGCAAGCGCACAGCATTCTACTTAGGTAGCTGTGAAGTAATTGTGTGAGCGAAATTGAATTTACATCCTGTTAGTACTGATCTGATTCATTCTTTCTACAGTATGAGCTCAACGCAGCAGCCAGATAATGTTGTTGACTTGGACAACAAGACACAACAGTCACTACGACAAGGTCATGACATTCTGGAAACTTGTGTTTCGGTTTGAAATGTAGGGTATCGTCTGAACTTTTGTCCTTCTATATGTCCCAAATGCCAGTTTTGAACGCCGTGCAATGCATGTTCTTCTACGAGCCCGACGGTATCCTAACCGCAGCTATCGTGTTGCCACCAGAGTGATGTCTGATCCCCCGAAAGCATTTGAGTGGTCGTCCTGCACTCCTAAGCCTGCCGTCCATCTGCCGTGGACTGTACATCAGATAGTCTTGGCCGTTGCCGTGACCTCAACCTGATGCTGCAACCTGGTCAACCTCCATCGGGGCTGTCGCGGTGGTTGTGCGCGTTCCGTTGTTGGTCGTAAGGCCTATCGCTGCCTCTGCTTCTTTCTGCGAGTAGGGCTCTTCGCGAAGTTGCTTGACTCTGCAGATTGATTAGAAAGAATAATCATGATCGTAAACACTGCGATTCCTACCTGCGCTTGTGGACCTTGCCCTTCTGGTGTGCGACAAAGTTGGCGTCGCTCTCAAAAAACTTTGCGCATTCCTTGCAGTAGAATTCGCCCAGGCCGGGCAAATCTTCTATGGGCTTCGCATCCTTGAATTCTGCGAGGTGCTTCTCGTCGCGCAGGTCGGCGTGGATCTGGTCGAGGTCGCGCGTGTGTCGACGTGTCTTCTTCTTGGAGTCTTGTCCGCGTATGGCTGGCATGGTGGGCAGTATCCGCGGCCGTCGGTTATCCGTGTGGAATCGTGATGGTCGGCTATAGAGAAAGTTGCAGTGTGGGGACACCTGCCGACGGGGGCCCGTGCCCGGTCTGCAGGTCAGAAAGACTTGTGGAGCTAGGTCGAATCAGGTGCTGGTAGATGCTACTGTCGCTCCAGACCCGAAATTTGCCATGTCTGCAGGCCTGCAAGCTGACTCGGCACACAATTGTTGAGTCGGAAAAGGACGCGCAGGCCGCCGGCAGCAGCGCGCGCGTGAATGTGCTATCGCAGAACGCCAATCACCTGCAAAAGGAACGAGCGCGGGGTTGGTGAACCGCTCCCGGGTATGACGTCTGGGTGAACACCTATAGCTTCGCGACACATGGCTGCGCGGCCTCCAAGACGTGAAATAGCAGCGGGCAGCCAGTCGCACACAGCGCAATTACTCTCTCCATAATTGCGTCTCCATTACATCGCCCTTGCACGTGAAGCGGGCCAACGGGACTGCGCTGCCGACCTGTTTCTGGTTCTGGCGCCGAGGTATTCCGCACGCAGCTGGGGCTAGACGAACCAATCACGCCCCTCGTGATCCTCATTAGTTATCGCCCAACTTGAGGCAGCTTCTGACGTTCTTTTCCTCCGCTTCCTCCATCACTCTTCTCTCCACACCACTCCCCTCCTCAAACTTCACCATGCAGAAGTTCTCGAGGCTCGGCCGCCTGGGCCAGAGCCTTGCTTCGCGCAGGCAATTGGCCACCGTCAGCGATGCTCCCCTCTCTCGCAAGGTCGAGATGACCAACTGGGAGAAGGGCCACTACATCAACTACCAGAAGATGAACGAGAACCTCGAGATTGTTCGTGCCCGCTTGAACCGCCCGCTCACCTTCGCCGAGAAGATTCTCTACTCCCACTTGGACGACCCCCACGGTCAAGAGATTGAGCGCGGCTCCAGCTACCTCAAGCTCCGCCCCGACCGTGTAGCTTGCCAGGATGCCACCGCCCAGATGGCCATTCTTCAGTTCATGTCAGCTGGTCTGCCCTCCGTTGCTACACCTACTACTGTCCACTGCGACCATCTTATCGAGGCCCAGGTTGGTGGTGAGAAGGATTTGGAGCGCGCCAACGAGATCAACAAGGAGGTCTACAACTTCTTGTCCACCTCTTGCGCAAAGTACAACATTGGTTTCTGGAAGCCTGGCTCTGGTATCATTCACCAGATCGTGCTTGAGAACTACGCTTTCCCCGGTGCTCTCCTCATCGGTACCGACTCGCACACTCCCAACGCCGGTGGTCTCGGTATGGCCGCCATTGGTGTCGGTGGTGCCGACGCTGTCGATGTCATGGCTGGTCTCCCCTGGGAACTGAAGGCCCCCAAGGTCATTGGTGTTAAGCTTACTGGCAAGCTCTCCGGCTGGACTGCTCCCAAGGGTACGTATTCTTAATATTGGTTTTCGAAGCGGGGCAACCACGCTAACGAAGTCTACAGACATTATCCTCAAGGTTGCTGGTATCCTCACCGTCAAGGGTGGAACCGGTGCTATCGTCGAATACCACGGTCCCGGTACCGAGAGTCTAAGCTGCACCGGCATGGCGACTATTTGCAACATGGGTGCTGAAATTGGTGCCACCACCTCGCTCTTCCCCTTCAACGACCGCATGTACGACTACCTCTCCGCCACCAAGCGCCGCGACATTGGTGACTTCTCCCGCGAGTACGCTGCCCAGCTCCGTGAGGACGAGGGTGCCGAATACGACGAACTCATTGAGATCAACCTTGACGAGCTCGAGCCCCACATCAACGGTCCCTTCACCCCCGATCTAGCTACACCCATCAGCAAGTTCAAGGAGGCTGTCAAGGCCAACAAGTGGCCTGAGGACCTCAAGGTCGGTCTTATCGGTTCTTGCACCAACTCCTCGTACGAGGACATGAGCCGTGCTGCCTCCATCGCTGAGGACGCCATGTCCCACGGCGTCAAGGCCAAGTCTCTCTTCACTGTTACCCCTGGCTCAGAGCAGATTCGCGCCACTATCGAGCGCGACGGTCAGCTCAAGACCTTCGAGGAGTTCGGCGGCATGGTTCTCGCGAATGCTTGCGGGCAAGTTTTCCCTCCTCTTCAATGTCCAGACACTGTGCTAACTTCCTCCTAGTCCTTGTATCGGTCAGTACTATATTCCTTCTTTTCCACGGTAGAGCCTGGAGGTATACGATACGTTTTGTTCTGTCTCTTGACAGAATAAACACCCTCGTATGCTTCAGAGCTACCGTATTTCCTTCCATGACGAGGTAGCCTGGAGGTATACGATACGTTTGGGTTTGTCTCTTGAAGAAGCAAATGTCCTCGTATGCTCCAGAGCTGCTTAGTTCCCCCTTCATTTCATGGTAGCCTGGAGGTATCCGATACGTTTTGTCTTGTCTCTTGACAAAATAAAAGCCCTCGTATGCTTCAGGGCTGCTATTTTTCAACTCGTATCTGAGCATCTGCTAACGAATTTCCAGGCCAATGGGATCGCCGCGATGTCAAGAAGGGCGAGGCTAACTCCATCATCTCGTCTTACAACCGCAACTTCACTGGCCGTAACGACGCCAACCCCGCCACCCACTCTTTCGTTACCTCCCCCGACCTTGTTGTTGCCATGACCATTGCTGGAACCTTGAACTTCAATCCTTTAGTAGATGAGCTCGAGGGAGCGGATGGCAAGAAGTTCAAGCTCAAGGAGCCTTCCGGCATGGGTCTTCCCGCCAACGGCTACGACCCAGGTCAGGATACTTACCAAGCGCCACCAGAGGACCGCTCATCTGTCTCTGTCGCTGTTTCGCCCACCTCAGACCGTCTCCAACTTCTTGAGCCTTTCTGTAAGCAATACTCTTGTGCGAAATACACGGTGCATACTAACTTTTACAGCCGCCTGGAACGGTGAAGATGCGAAGAACCTCCCTATCCTTATTAAGTGCCAAGGAAAGACTACGACCGACCACATCTCGATGGCTGGTCCCTGGTTGAAGTACCGTGGACATCTCGACAACATCTCCAACAACATGTTGATCGGTGCCATCAACGAGGAGAACGGCGAGGCAAACAAGGTCAAGAACGCTCTCACCGGTGAATACGGCGCTGTTCCTGATGTCGCTCGCGACTACAAGAAGAACGGTGTCCCATGGGTTGTTATGTGAGTACCTCTGGTACACAAAGCTACCTACACCTTACTGATACCGATTGCAGTGGTGACTACAACTATGGCGAGGGCTCTTCCCGTGAGCATGCTGCGCTTGAGCCTAGGCACTTGGGCGGCGCTGCCATCATCACTCGTTCTTTCGCCCGTATCCACGAGACCAACCTCAAGAAGCAGGGTAAGGGACATCCAGACCCTATGTGAGATATGCACTAACTCCTACCTCTCAGGCATGCTTCCCCTTACTTTCTCTGACCCTGCCGACTATGAGAAGATCGGTCCGTCAGACAGGATTGACTTGGCCTCCACCAAACTTGCTCCTGGTAAACCGCTCCCGATGACCGTTCATCCAGCAGACGGTTCCAAACCATTTGAAATCCAGCTTTCGCACACCTTCAACGAGGGTCAGATTGAGTGGTTCAAGAACGGCAGCGCCCTCAACACCATGGCAAAGAACGCCAAGCAGTAAATGCACACGAGAGAACATGGATGAAGACAATCACCACTGGGGATGTATATACAGAAGGACAGAATACCCCGCAGATGCTTCACGATCGGGGATTCGGGGATTCACATGGACTATGTCAAGCAGATGATGAGAGAGCTGGGCGTCCGCAGACGGGCGCGGCAGTAACGGCTCCTGGGTCGATCTTTCGGGCTCAAAGTAGTTGGGTTTGCTTGTATTTGTGATGATTAGCATGCAATGTATGACTGATTTTTTCTTGTTACAAGCCGTAAATGCTGTGATGTGAGTGCCGAATTACGAATACGTATAAGCTTGTGAGAAGCGTATGCAATGGCATGAGGCATCGTGAAGCATACATTGTAAATTTCGCATCTGAGTTGTGGTGGGCAACTGCTGCGAATACCTCCAGGACACGTCCTGTCGATTTGTACAACTGATAAAAGTTGGATGTATTCGCCTCAGCAACTGCTAGAATTCGAACATTCAAGCCATGAAATTTCGCATGTTGCACCTCGGAGCACACCGCGCGCAGGCTGACCTCGGGAGACACGGTGCACGATACCGCCGCAAACGTGCGAGTGGATCCTGGACCCGTTCCCGCTAGTCACCGGGACAACGGCCGACAACAAACACGCTCGGCAGTTTTCCAACGTCTAGACATCCTTGCGCGAACAACCTTCTTGGAACCAATCGCGCGCACAACAGCTTGAATATCCTTACACACTACAAGATTGCATATCGCATATCCTCAACATGGCGCGTCTACGCAAACCGAGTCCGAACGAACCCAGTATCTTCATGCCACCGTCCGAGACGAGAGCAAGCCGATCCAGTCCCCGAAAAGCCACCCTACGATACGCATCTTCGCAAGAAGATGACAGCTCGATACTTGTGCCAAAGAGGTCGAGGCGCACCGCGCAAGACATTAGCATATCGCAAGACGAAGAGCAGTCCTTCCGCATACCTTCGATAGCAACGCCAAAGGATACTATCAGCCCCCGCAAGCAACGTGTATTGCGACCGGTCGAGAGCAATAGCCGACTCCTTCGAAAATTGAGTGACGAAAGTCTGGCAAGCCCAGAGAAGAAGCAAAGAGAGAGGAGAGTGCGCAGTGGAACAACAGATACGGATGTGGGGAATAGAAATGGGCTTATGTATGCCAAAAGCCTGGCTAGAAGCGTGGTGAACAAGCGGAACAAGAAAGGCAAGATCAATGTCGTAGGGGAAGTCGAGGCACAAGAGGCCGCCCAACGGTCACGAAGTAGGGAACATGAGAGCACAGAGGAGGCAGTCGCGCAAGACGACGAGGATGCCGAGGCCGAAACAAGTCTGTGGTGTGGCGACGAGGAAGCAGAGACACAAGAAGAGGTTGCTGAACCAGTCATCGAGATCAGCGAGGATGATGAAGAGGACGAGCCTGTCGTAAAGTCGCGAACAAACCAGCGACAACCGCGCGCACGGCGCGTCGTATCTGACAGCGAGGAGGACGAGAGTGAGCTAAGCGCACCACAACCTACCAAGCAGCCTCAGCAACCAATCTTCAAGATTCCTGAACTCAAACCGCCGACTGATCTGACTTCCATGAGACCACCACATCGAAAGGGTCATAGTACGATATCGAATTGGGCACAGGAGGTCGTCGACCTCACCGACTCGCCGGAGGCCCCGGAATCTTTCGTGCTTCCTGAACGCACCCACGCCCGATCAAGCTCTTTCGCAGCATCTTCTCGGCCTGCTAGCTCAGCATCGAACGGTCCGCTTGCAATTCTTACGTATTCGCCCACACCTACCAAGCAACGCTCCCCCCGCAAAGCTCCGCCCATCTCGCGACCAGCCACTCCTCCCCTGGCACCTCCCAGTCCCACCAAGCTCGTCTCGCCCTCGAAAAAGAAGCCCGTGATCCCCAAGGCGGTCGATCTAGACGGAAGACCAAGCCTCGACGCGTTCTGGAATCCTGCAGCTGTCAACGACTGGACCGACCGCCACTCGCCAGCTAAGCAGCTCGTATCGCCCAAGAAGCAGAAATGGAGGGACGACATAGTCAAGATGATGGAAGGTGTTGCTTTAGAAGACAGCAGTGACGAGGGTTACGAAAGCCCCATCGAGAGCCCCAAGAAGAAGAAGCCCACAATTCGGAAACCAGCTAAGGAGAAGACACCAGAGAGTGAGCCGGTCCCGAGTGTCAAGCAGATCCGTGAGCAACGCAAAGCCTTCGCCGAACGCAAGCACGCCATAGCCGAAGCCTTCCTCATCGAGCTCGACACCACAATCTCATCAGGTCGCATCCACGAGCTCTCGAAACCCACAGGTGGTATCAAGCTCGTCTGGTCTAAGACCCTCAAGACAACAGCCGGTCGCGCGAATTGGCGTAGAGAGCAGATTCGCATACGAACCGGTCCCCTTCCCACCGACACGCGCGTCGAGATCCGACACCACTGCTCCATCGAACTCGCCGAGAAGGTCATTGACGACGAGGAGAGGCTTTACAACGTACTTGCCCACGAATTCTGCCACCTGACCACGTTCATGATAAGCGAAGTGCGCAACAACCCCCACGGAGCAGAGTTCAAGTCCTGGGGTCGCAAAGCTACCGTCGCGTTCGCCAGCAAAGGCGTCGAGGTCACCACGAAACACTCCTACCAGATCGAATATAAGTACGTTTGGGAATGCATCTCCTGCGGCTACGAGTTCAAGCGTCACTCCAAGTCCGTCGATCCGGCGCGCCACTCATGTGGCAAGTGCAAGGGCAAGCTCGCGCAGACCAAGCCCACCCCTAGGGGCGTTGGCGCTAGTGCTGCTGTAGGCAAGGATGGCAAGAGGGAGAAGAGCGAGTACCAGGTCTTTGTCAAAGCCAACTTTGCGCGTGTGAAAAAGGAACTCGAGGCGGAGGGCAAGGACGCGCAGATGGGCAAGGTGATGGAGGCTGTGGCCAAGCAGTATAGAGAGAGGAAGGGTGCGGGTAGTAGTAAGGCGAAGGAGATCATTGATCTAGAGGCTGCTCTGGATGATATGAAGATCTAGATCTAACAGTTAACGAATGAAATGCATGAACATCTCTAAGCTTGTGGGTCGTGCGTCTTTGTGTTCTTTCGTGTTGGGCTGCCTAGCAAAAACACAAGTCGCTTAAGAGTGTTGTGGAAAAGTGAAAAGAGGGATGCAAAAAGATGATGTTTTTTGCTAAGGCAAAAAAAGATGTAGGTTGTATACGGGCTCTCTAAGGCTCCTACGCTCAAGCTCCACAGGGTCGTAATACGGCCACGAAGGGCTCCCTGCAGATGTCTGCTACCGAGATTCGAACTCGGGGCAATGGCCTTTACACTCGCTCACAGCGAGTAGGATGGTTACGCTGTGAACAACCATAGCAGACTGCTTGATGGAGAATTTGAGAATTAAACATTACATATAGTTGATTCAGATCAAAATACAAAGTTGGATATGGGGATGCTGCAGCGCTGATCAAATAGTGAATGCGAGGCGATGTTCATCAGTTTGTATGGGGTGGAGAAGTGAAGGTGAAGCCGGCGATGGGAAGTGCGTGCGGAGTGAACAAATCTTAGATCAGGCGTACAGCTCTACTTGACTGCATCTGAAGCTGAAGTTAATAAGTGTTGGATAAGTTTAAGATTTACATTAGACTAGATGTGGTACATTAGTAACAAGTAGAGGTGCGTTGTATGTATACATTATTCTAGTAACTTAACTTCAAAACATCGAATAAGAACTGACATCCTCCAGCCCACCACAGCAACCTCCACTCCAACAGACCAAAGTGAGGCCAACAGGTCCTCACCACACTCTACCTAGACTTATAGCGCCTCGACTTAGGCCTCCAATACCCCTGATGGGTAGCGAGAAACCGACCCTTCTTCTGAGCCTCTGTCGGCTCATATCCTTCCTTCTCAGGAGCATCTGGCAACTCGCCATCAACCCCATCTACCGCTGTATACACCCAGGTCTCATCTATATGCCCAGGACACTTTCCACAGAACTTCATATACGGCCGGTTCCATCGCCCACACGCACAGCACCAGTCCCCGTCGTACTTGGCCCGACACGGCCACGGTTCCTCTATACCCGGGCCGGGTTCTTGCACGCGCACACTGTCCTTTCGGACACCATCACACGGAACACCACCTACTCCTCCCACGTTGCCTCGGCAGACATCCGTATACTTGCCGTTCCAAAAGCTGCAACGGCAGAGCCAGTCTTCTGCTCGAGGTATGTATGGGCCGGGAAGGCGGCCTGCTTTCTTGGCGGCGCGCTTTTCCTCCCGTGCTGCATCAGCAGCGAGCTTTTCCTCCGCTACAGCGGCAGGACAGGGCTTTCTGGGATGGTAGTCGCTACTCGCGCACGATACGTGGCACCCCGGATCGGGATTCGGGTTGAGGTAGGCTGTGACGGGGCCAGGCAAGGTGGGTGCAGTCGGAGCTGCAGTTGGTACGACTCGGGGTACCTTACGGCTGGTGGCGGATTGGTCTATAGATATATTAGTTCACCATGTCTATCAATAAGACCATTGATCAGAGAAACGTACCAAGCTGGGAGGTGTCTTCCTCCGCTTTCCTCTTCCGCTCACTCCTCGCCTTCTCCTCCTCTTCCTCTTTCTTCTTCCTCTCCTCTTCCTCTTGTTGTTGCTGCTGCTGCTGCCTCTCCCAATCTTTCAAACTGGCAGTCAGTCTCACCGAACCCGCTCCAGTGCCCAAAAATTTGCGGCAAAGGTAGTCAAGGTAGGCCGCCACTTCTGGATCAGCCGCCGCCCTTTCGCGCATCTCACGCTCCTCTCTATCGGCCTCCTTCGCTTTGCCCGGAGGCAGCTTCTTCGCCTTTTCCAGCATCGTCTCAAAGTATGACGGCTTTGCGGCAGGTGCCGACGGCGCAGGGGTTTCGTTTGCGGCAGGCATTGTGGTTTGTGTGTGATGGGAAACGGAATTAAAAGCGTGTGATGAGAGGAGAGATTGGAGAAAAGTATGGAGGATGCGACACTGAAGATTTTTTGAGGTGAGCGTTTGTTGTGTGTTGACACTATTTCACTGTCACTCGCGGTGAGGAGGCGCTCCTCACCGCAACGCGTCACCGTGCAATTTCCCTTTCACCTTGAGAAAGACACGGGCAATTCCAGAGCCCTTACTTCAAACCCCCGTTCTCCTTGATACCCACAGCAACCCTCTCTCGACCTGTCCTACAAACCATGGATCCTCGTACGCTTCATCAAAATGACCCAAAGACGTAAAGAATATCCTTCCACCCTCGAACTCTTGACACCATACCAACGGATGATCATCTCCGTGTTTACCTCCTTGGAACGTCTTCGGATCACCTTTAAGCAAGATCTGGAGGTTCTTATTCTCTCTTGGATGAGTGTGGAAGTTATACCATTCGTCCTTCCAGCCCTCACGCCCACCACAGCAGTTCATGATCTGGTGTTTTTGGCCAGACTCTTCAGGAACGACGGTACCAGGCTCAGGATCGGGATGCATGTCGAAACTGGCTCCGACCAAGTTTGTGTAGTATTCGTTGCCTTGCATAGCTGCAGCTGCGCCGTGGATAGCTACGATACCGCCGCCATTCTTCACCCAGGTCCTCAAAGCTCCTAGTTCGGATGGAGTGAAGATGTCGTCGCCGATGTTTTGCAGGAGGACGATGACTTGATATTGCGCGAGAGAAGACGAGGTGAACAGCGAGGCGTCTTCACTAGCTGTGACTTTAAAGAGATTCGTATCGCTGGCTAACTTGTGGAACATGCGGATACCAGCTGGGATAGAGTCATGACGGTAGCCTGTGGTCTTGCTGAAAACGAGGACGTTGAATGCTGTGGCTTTGGCCATGTTTGCGCACTGTCTGGGCGGTTGTCTATGAGGCTTCGGCGCTTCTACATAACCTGGGAAGTTATACTGTTGTGTAGCGCTACCGAGGATATATGGTTCATGGAATATCAACTAAATTAGGCTGATTTACCATCTACCGGCGGCATATGACGTCATGCATACCAGCACGGGTTGAAGACTAGGTACAATGAGTAGCTGGACCCAGCTGTCTGGCGGTGGCCCTGCGTGCAGAGCTGGAGTGAAACACGGCGCAGTAGCCAAGGTGTCGTATAATGTTGAATTCTTTGTCCACTCATGGCCTCGACGATCTGAAGACTACGACACACAGAAAGCACGAACTTACAGTCTTGCTGGAGAAGGCACCTCCCAGCTGGCGGCGATGTTGGAAGACGCGACACGATGCTAGCGCACTTACCCTTGTCGACGCGCCATCCCGGTTCCGCTTCCCCCACTTTTCCATCACATAGACCCTTCGGCATCACCACCGTTGTCACCATTCTCGTCTGCCACTCCCCGCAGGACTCGCAGGCAATATATTCCAAGCACCGATGGCTACCCTGCATGTCACTTAGACTGTAGCCTTAGAGGAAAGCGTTAGGTTTATCTGACCAGGCAAACACCGCATCCTAGAGTCGAAACCTGGACTACTTTCAGCACCCTTCACATCAGGCTGAGTCAAACACTTTCTCAAGAATCCGATTTCTATATTATCTCGGATCATGGACACCGGAGCAACGGGACCAACTCACCCCGGCGATGTAGTCCCATATCCCCCTCCACCCGAAGCATGCGAGGGCGAAGCACCTTCAATACTCCAACTGCCGCCCGGGGATTACTACATTCGGGAGTTTCTAAGCCTGCTAGAACCCGCACATGCTCTGCGAAAACATGGCTACAACTTTGCACAGTTGACAGACGAGGAGATTCATCTGAAACGGAGATGCAGTAAATGCAATCAAAGTAAGTGCAATCTCAGTGCTTTGAATGTGCATATTGATTTCAAGAATATTGCTAAACTTCTGGTAGCTATCCAACAGCTTAGCAAGGGTCTACAACAGGCCATAACGCGCCGTAGCCAACAACTTCTCTCACATCCACCGGACACGCCCTACAAAACATTGCCAAGTATGATCGTACCATACGAGAACGGTACCTCTGGATTTCAGTATTGCACAACAGAGTGTCACTACCACTCGGCACCAGTTGACCGTGCTACAAAGGTGAGCGCAGTCTGGCCCTACTTTGCCTAACCCAACTAATCTTGTTAGTGCTGGTTGTGCTGCGGAAAGCACGTCTCGGAGGCCCAGCCATGTAGAACTTCCGACAAGCACAGGATACGTGAATACCGACCAGGTGAGCTCGAACGCCTACATCAATTCCAACCGACTCCACCTTTCCGTCATTGGGATGCGGACCGCAGGATAAACGCCAAATTCGCCGTAGCGATCGATTGCGAGGTATTTCCAGATCTACAAAAAGTGTGTGAAACATACTGACTTCTCACTCCCATTCTGAAGATGGGAACAGCCAGGAGTGGAGACTCTGAGCTCATCCGCCTGAGCGCCATCGACTACTTAACCGGAGAAGTGCTCATTAACAACCTTGTCAAGCCTGATCAACCAATGCAACATCTCAACACAAAGTGGTCGGGCGTTACTTGGGATCAAATGAATGAGGCTGTAAGAGAGAAGACCACGCTGAAGGGGAAGGCAAGTCACTCCGTATGCAAGCTGAAGGAAGACATGTACTGACTTTGTACACTAATTTCAGATTGGGGCGAGAAAATTGTTGTGGAAGTTTGTCGGTCCAGACACTATTCTCGTCGGACACAGCGTTCATAATGACCTCAAAGCATTGAAGTGGATACACACGAAGGTTGTAGACTCCTACGTCGTAGAGCACAAGAGTATTCAGGAGAAGAAGGCAATCGAAGCCAGAGAAAAAGAGCTTAGTGAAGAGGCGGCAAGAAGGGTGGAGGAGTGCCTTCTGGAGGTCACAGGACTAGCGACGAGTAGCATGCTCACCCCATTGACCAATGCGCAGACAATGGGCGATTCGACCAACCCCACTGAGGGTGAGCCCAAGAAGAAGAAGAAAAAGGGCACGGGTGATCTGGCGTTGAAGACACTGCTAAAGAAATACCTGGACACGGACATTCAGACCAAGGGCAACAAAGGTCATGATAGCTTGGAAGATGCAACTGCGGCGCGCGATCTAGTTCACTGGATGGTTATGCGGAGACTCCAGGAGAAGTATGGCGTCCCGATGTAGCAGGGGCTAGAAGACGTTAGTTCTTTTTCGATGTTTTTACGTCTAATTACTAGAATAATGTATACATAGAACGCACCTCTACTTGTCACTAATGTACTACATTTAGCGCAATGCATACCTCAAACCCACCCACGGTCAGCACCTAGTAACTTCAGCTTCTCATTGTAGCCTTCGGCACTCTGGAAGGCTAGACTGGAACAATATACGACTACAACTCAGTCTTTTCAGCATCAACATTCAAGTCCCAATCAATGCCACCATCTTTGCCATAACGCTGCTCCAGCCATTCGTTGCACTTCCTAAAGTGACCGTTGTCAAACTACACATCGTTAGCACTTGAATCATGACATGCCGGAAGGCGATACTTACGAAGCCTCTCGCCGCACTCAGCGGGCTGGGATGTACGCTCTTCAGCACAAGATGCTTGTCCACCGGAATGCCCTTGGTCCTCTGCTGCGCCGGACTGCCCCAGGCCAGGAAGACAACACCATTCGTCCGCACCTTAGCCACAGTATCAATGACCTTCTGCATAAGCAGCTCCCAGCCCTTGCCCGAGTGTGAGTTTGCTTCGCCGCGACGCACGGTCAAGCAGGTATTGATGAGTAGAACACCACGATCAGCCCATGGAGTCAGAAGACCACCCTTGTTCGGGGGTCGCTTGTAGTCTGGGTACTCCTTCTCGAGGGCCTTGTAGATGTTCATGAGCGAAGGAGGCGCAGGGTTCGGTGGACGGATGGAGAAGCAGAGTCCGTGGGCTTGGTTGGGGCCGTGGTATGGATCTTGGCCTGTGATGACGACCTTGACGGTGTTGAGGGGTGTGTGTCGCGACCTGACCAGTATTAGTCTTCGTTACTCGAGCTGGCACCCGGAAGATATGGGAAATCGTACCAGGAGTACACGTCCTTCATCGGCGGGTATACAGTCTTCCCACTGTCCAGCTCCTTCTTCAGGAACCTCTTCAATTCGAGGAATTGGGGTGTCAGCAGCACATCCTTGACATGCGGCAGCCAGCTCTCATGTAGGGTGTCGAGCTCAAGTTGTAGCAGCTCTTTCTGCTCGTCTGTGAGTTTGGCAACCCATGCATCTCTATCAAACTTTGCGGCTGCAGCAGACTGCTTGGGTGGTGCATTGGGATTGGGTTTCGGGGCGCCAAAGAAGGCGGTAATGCTGCCGTTCTGCTTGGGCTTCTTGGACGCGTCTGTGGCCGCTGCCGCTGCTTTACGCTTTAGACTCATGGTGGAACCGTCAATCGATGTAGAATATGGGGAAAGCGGAGATGCGTGGAGCAACGAAGATAATAGCAAGGAAGCTATGACGAGTCGTAAGAGTATCGCGACGATTGCAAGCATCTCCCAGCCCCAGAGATTCGCGTCGGGGACGTGACGTCGGACACGACCTGTCATTTCCGCCCGAGCACGTTGATTGGCCGCCGCGTGGCACAGCAACACGTGAGTACGCGCGACGCGTTTGAATCACGTGACATGACATCACACTCTGCCCTGACACAGTCCGCAACATGGCACAAGGATGCAAGCAGGCTGCAGTGGCTTCCCCATCAAGATGACCGTTTTTCCGGCAAATCAGACGTGAGCGGACGTTTGATCGACACTAACATGCCTCGAGGTGGAGACTGAAGCCTGATGCAGGCTCGCATGCAGGCGTGCTGCCCGCATTTGTGACGTGTTGCCTAGGGGAAGCAAACAGGAGCGCGTACAGGTGAGGGGATATAAACAGACTTACTTCGTCTTTGCTTCTTCTCTCATCTTACAACCAATCTGACCCATCTTCTCAAACTACAACACTCAATCAGACCTCTATCAAACACAATCATCAATCATGGCTTCTTCCAACCCTTCCAACTTCGCCAACCTCCCCAAGGACAAGCTCAGTGAGATTGCCGCCAAGGGTGGTCATGCCTCTCACGGCTCTGGCAACAGCGAAGTAAGTCGTGCCGGATACCCTCACTCTAATGTGCAGTGACTGACCTTTTGTCAAGTCCACATCCACCGGCAGCAGCGGCAATGCTGACCGTAACCCTGACGGTACCTTCACCAAGGGCTCAGACCTCGCGAAGGAACTAGGCGCTCAAGGTGGTCATGCTTCCCACGGTGCTACAGACTCCACGTCCAACAGCAGCGAGCCAGGCCGCAACCCAGATGGCACCTTCACCAAGGGCTCAGAGGTCGCCAGCAAGCTTGGTGCTGAGGGCGGCCACGCATCCCACGGTTCTTCCAACGACTCTAGTGCTCAGACTTCCAGCAACGAGAGCGGCGTAGGTTATCCTAAAGTACGGTCGATGAGTTCGTGGCTAACATATTCCACGTAGCGCAACCCTGACGGAACTTTCAAAAAGGGCAGTGAGCTCGCTTCCGAGCTAGGCACACAGGGCGGACATGCCTCCCACTAGAAGCAACACGTATGATGTGCCTACCGATCCTTCAGTCCGGCCTTCATCGTATGTCTATGAATGACGGCCCATCGTGGAGGAAGATACCTGGACATTATGGTACTATCATGCAGGGTCATAGCCTAATCACGAAATCATGAATGAATGCAGAGAACAATACATGACTCAGTTTTTCATCTCGTAACGTACTACATGTAATGCTTAGGCCTCGAGGGACTCACATGCATCTACAATGTTTTCTAACCGCTATAGCCCAAGGCGTCTAGTTCCTTCTTGATCTGCTTCTCGGTGCTGATCTTCTTGACCTGGGTGTCCTCTAGTTTCTCTCCGCCGGCTTGACGCATCTTCAGCTCATCGATGGCGCGCATCTTCTTCAGCAAACCCCTGATCTTCTTGTCCTGAGGGTTGCCGCCGTCACCAGGGCTGGTGACGGTGAGGTCAGGGGGAGGACCCTGGCTCTCGGTCTGGATCGGAGGAGGGGCCTGAGCCTGAGCTGGAGCTTGCTGACGCTGCTGCGCAGGGTTCTGGCGCTGGTTACCGTCCGGACGAGCTTGACGGTTTGGGCTGTTGCCAAAGTTGCGGTGCTGGCTGGCGCTTCGTCCTTGCTGCTCATATCCGCTCTTGCTGCGACTGCGCTGGCGACGTTCTGGGCTACGTCCAGCTCCGTTGGGTACATTGGCACCGTCAGCGCCTAGTCCAGCAGCCTTGTCAGCGGCCTCGCGAGCCTTCTTGGCCTCTCGCTTCTTCTTGTTCTTCAAAGCCGCCTTCGAGAGCTCTCCATCGCCATCTTGAGCGCCGGTAAGACTAACACCGCCGCCGGGAGCAGCGCCCGGTGGAAGGGTCTCAGCAGCTTCTGCTCCTGGTACCTCACGGCGACGCGGCTTGCCAAATCCATTGGCGAAGCCGACGTTCGTGGAAGAGATACCGGTGTTGGCATAAGCTGCGCCTCCTTCATCTTCACGCTTAAAGTGTAGGGGTGTAGCGGTTCCGCGCGCTCCGGGGGGACGGTAGGCACCCGCAGGCTTGGACGGTGTCTTCTGGGTGCTGAGGTAGGCGAGCGCAGACGGATGCGGTGCCGGTACGTTGGTCAAGGGGTCGGTCAGAGGGTACATCGAGATTGGCTGAGGGCGCCAAACGACGTGGTAGAGTTCGGCCATGTCCTCATTGTACATGAGGCCCCCGCTGACGTGGTAGATGCGAACACCGTTGTCAACACGAAGACGCGGGCTAGTAGTAGCCGTAAGAATATGCTGCCCATCCGGACTCCATGCGCAATAGGTCGAGTTGGAGGTCTTGACGTGGCAGACCTTGGCGAAGTTCTTCTCAAGATCGTAGATGTCCATATCTCCAGCTAGATTACCAAAACCGGCGACGATGACGAAGCGACCGTGTGGACTGAAAAGGATAGTGTTGCGTGGGCCTAGGTCGAAACTGTGTTGTGCGACCGCGCGCTGGTTGAAGATGGTAGTCTTTGCGGGCATGTAGCCATAGGTGACACCGAACTCCTTCGAGTTCGGCGACCAGGAGACGTCGTGAATAGGACCCTCCTTGTCTAGCTGGATGCGCGAGTCGAAGGTGCCGTTGGCGCTAAGAATGTACATGTTGGTCTCGCCGTAGTAGCTCTTGTTCGTCTTGTCGACCTCAGTTTGGGCTAGGACAATCAAGCTGGTACCGAGATCGTTCCACTTCAGCTGGACCTTGTCGCCCTTGAAGAAAGTCTTCTGGGATACCGGCTGGCTGAATTGAGGGACCTGGAAGACCTTGACAGCAGCGGGCATACCCTTGCGCTCCGGAACAAAAACGGCAACTGAATGATTCTTGCCTGGGGCGAGCGCCATGTCGGTCACTCCCTCCACGCGGAGTTTGTTCCAAGGGTTGCGCAAGTCGCTCGACTGGAAGAACTGCACCTCGTTTGTTACAACGCGCGCACAGTACTTCTCGTCGGACGAGTACTGCAAGTTCCAGCCACTCTGGTTCTTCTGAACGTATTCGCCGATGACTGCCCGTGATCCGTCATCTTCAGCTTCGTCGGAGAGCGTCTTCCAGACCCGGAGGTTCTTCGCCGCGTTCCCGTCTTCGTCCTTGGATGGGCGCTGCCATGTGATGAGGTATGTGCCGAGCGGGGAGAAGCCGAGCTCGTAAACGTTCGGTGTGGGGAGTGTGGTAATGACGTTGCCGACTGAGGCGTCGATCACCGAAACCTGTTCAGGTGTTGCCCATGCGAAGTACTTGCTATCGGGCGAGTAGCAGCAGCAGCGAAGGTTGCCTTCGGGTCTGTTGTGCAAGTCAGCGTCAGAACTGGACGCGGATGTGCGCGAGAAGTTGTTGTATAGTCCAAACACCTACCGTACGAATCCTGGAAGAGCCTCATACACTGGAGCAGCGTTGAAGATCCCGATGCCCTTGGCGGAGCGGTCTGCGAGTGTTGTTAGCGTGTCTCACTCCGACTGTGCGGAGGGTGCGTACAAGCCAACTGTGTGGGAACAGCCATGATAACTAGTAAAAGTCACAGGAAGTTGTACAAGTGGGCGTGGGGCAAGGTGCTGGTGGTCGCGAAGTCTGGCTCACTGCTGAGCTCGGTTTTGTGGGTTGGCGATGAGTAAGGCTAAGACAGGAACACGTCGGGGGTGTGGGTATGGATTCGAGTGTGACGTAGTTCCGGGACTTTATAGGCCAAGGGCAGACTTTGGGCGCACGCAGCGGCAACGGGTGGATCGTGGAGGGAAGGAGGAACACGCGTCAGGGAATTGAAGGGTGACCGTGTGACAGCGTAGTGAAGGCGATGGCGGCCGTCGAGAAAGAAATCCGTGGGCACACGCGCTAGTGCTCGGGGAAAATGCGGGCCGCTGGCGTTGGGACTGTGACATCAGCCTCGCCAGCACATGCTGGAGACGGAAGAGTGAATGGGAGCGGCTGTGCACGCATTGGCGCTCGAAACTCGTCTTCTGAATACGTTTTCTGACTGCATCGACGTCACCGAGTCTAGACCGATCTTGTGCCGTCTGCACAGAAGGATTCGAGATTCAATGATCTGCGGGCCAGCTTTCCCTAGCAAGAGCCGCGAATCGAGCATGCTTCGTCGGCTTCGTCTCGAGTGTCAGCGACTGATACACCATTTCATACTCCCTCCATCTGCTTAGATACGTAGGAGATCGCGCAATTTATACAAGCATTGCGTACAGTTGACCATTCGCGATATACCAACGGCGAACTCCATGTCTATCGTTATCGCCTCGGTAGCGCCATAAGCTCCCGAGCTCCCCCCAACTCCACAGACCCATCGTAGCTTCCGTCCACGTCCCTTCGGACGCCGTGCCGCGAAGATGCCGACCTCGATGCCCGCCCCTTCGATTCGCATCCCGATGGAGCTTCTGACTCCGACTGCTTTCGCGCAGTTCGGTGCTGTCATCGAGAACCCGACCACATCACCGTCCGCGAAGCTGCCCATCCCGCAACGCGTACCACCGCCGGACGCCGTCGCCGCCAATCAGGGCTCGGCCACCAAGTACCTCGATGTCACACACATGTCGAACTTGTACAGCCTTGCGCCGAGCAAGAAACCTGCCAAGGCAGTAATGAACATGTTTGTTTGCTCGCCGCGCAACCTCCGGCCGCACGAGCCGAGCATGAGCATGCCCAGCTCGTGGGGAGACTTGGACCTAGATGAGGACGAGGAAGGATGCGGGGACTTCCAGAGGCAGCTATTGGACGTTGGCATCCTCGAAAGACATCCGTTCACCACGCAGACATTCATACCCATGGGCCTGTCGCAGCAGGAAAGGCACACACAGTATCTTGTCATAGTGGCTCCAACACTGCCGGCAAGCGCATCGAGAAGGCACACAGGCAGAGCGCCGCCATATCCTACACCCCACATCGAACGGAAAAGGAGTGTCATGGACATTTTTGCGCGCGCAAGGCCGAGCCCGTACTCGAACGAGACTGTGCCTACCCAGAGCCAGTTCTCACGGCTGCACCCGTCAGCGCGACCCAAGGGACCTGGCCTGCCAGACCTCAAGAACCTTCGCGCCTTCGTTGCAAACGGCAGTCAAGCAGTGACATACGGGGCTGGGACATGGCATGCGCCGATGATCGTGATCGGAGATCGGCCAATCGACTTTGTGGTCGTACAGTTTGCGAATGAAGTAAGCAACGAAGACTGTCAGGAAATCGTGCTGAAGCCAGACCAAACCGCTTCCGAGGGGGTTGTGGTAATGGTGGATACCGATTCGGCTGGAGCTGTGCAAGTCAAGGCTGGGGTTGGCTCTGTAAAGGCTAAACTATGATGCTCCTGCTCTATTTTCTCGCTTCTGATGGCTACCCCCCTAATTTGACCCGATACCATATTTTAATGCAAGCGTTGATGTGGATGCAGCGGTTCGGAAAAGATCACGACTGTAGCATGAACATAACTCTAACATGTGAATGGCCAGTGTTAGGGCTTCCAACAAGATCTTGTGTCCGACAAGCTTTCCAGTTATCGCAATCGTACCTCTGGTAGATGCTACTGCAAGAATGACATGGATGATACAGATCTCGCTTGTTTTACCGCATCGAAAACATAGGGCCTCCCGTTGCTCCATCTCACGCTGCCGGAACCAATAGGATGGATGGTGTCCACTGTACCTGCCGCAGTTCTTCTACTCTCGACACGTATAGCCCCGTCCATACAGCTGCACATAACTCTGCGCAAGTTCCTCCAACCCTCGAGTGGTTTCTCACGTCCGTCCGTACAATGGAAGAAGCGGATCTCGTGATCATAGGTGCAGGCATCTACGGCCTCACAACTGCTCACACATACCACCGCCTACATCCTTCAGCCAAAATACTCATTCTCGACTCTGCGCCATCCATTGGCGGACCATGGGCACCGAATCGTGTGTTTCCCGGTCTCCGGACCAACAATCTGTGGGGCATGTACGAACACCCTGACTTCCCCATGGATGAAGAAAAGTTCATGGTGAAAAGGGGAGAACACATTCCTGCCGCGAAGATGTTCGACTACCTTTGTGCTTTCATGAAATGGGCCAATGTAGAGCAATTCGTTAGAGGGCGAACAACTGTTGAGGTCATCGAGAGGGATGAAGATGCGAATGGATGGGTTTTGCATTGCGCGGCATTTCCATTGAATAGGAAGGGCACCCAGATCAAAGCGAAGAAACTGGTCATTGCAGTCGGTACCACGAACAAGCCACTATTACCGGATTATCAAACGTCGACAAACTTCAGATCATTGGTTATCCATGCTGCAGACTTCCCGGAACATCACCAAGTCATTGCGAAACCAAGCAAGCATACCGTCGTTGTGGGATCTGGAAAGTCGGCGTGGGATGTAGCGTACGCATGTGCTAGTCAGCCGTCGGCTACAGCGACTTTACTCATTCGTCCTGACGGCAACGGGCCTGTGTGGATGACGCCTAGTCACGTCACACCATTGGGATTGTGGCTGGAGAAACTGGTACATACACGTTTCTTTGGCTTCATGTCTCCTTGTCCTTGGGCACCCACGACAGGCATTGAAGGCTGGCTGCGCTCCTTTTTCCATCGCACGTGGCTCGGCAGGAAAATAGTGGGTGCTTTCTGGAACATACTTGGAGAAGATGCGATCGCGCTAAATGGGTTGGACAAACACCCTGAGACGAAGAAGTTGCGGCCTTGGAGAGGTGCTTTCGAAGTCGGTAATGCGCTATCGATTCACAATTACCCGGAGAGCTTTTTCGAGTTGGTCAAAGACGGAAAAGTCAAAGTAGTCGTTGATGACATTGAAAGCCTGTACGGAGAGCGACATGTTGTACTCAAGTCAGGGAAGGTGTTAGAGGCCGATGCAGTCGTTTGTGCAACAGGCTGGCAAAAGGGATACACCTTCCGCTTTGAACCTCAAGAGCTGGAGAAGCAGTTGGGCTTACCCAGTACACTTGCACTCACGCCGGAAGAAACAGCGCTTATACGGAAGTCGGAGGAAACTCTGTACACTGAGTACCCTTACCTAAAAGAGAGGGATACGAGTCGTATACACCATCCCGATCCCTCCCTTCGTTACGCTGAACAGCGTTCTTCAAACGCCCAACCGTACCGCTTACACCGCTTCATGGTCCCACCAAAAGCCATGAAAGAGCGCAATATTGCCTTTGCAGGTGCAGCCCATTGTCTTTTTACGTTCCCCTGCGCATATATTCAGAGTCTCTGGATCACTGCCTACTTCGACGGCACGCTATCCCTACCCTCTTCATCCACCAAAACACTTGAAGAGACATATCGAAACACGCAGTACTGTGTCCTCCGCGGCGCAATGAGTTATGGGCATACGCTACCCGATCTTGTCTTCGATACGATGCCTTACCTTGACACGCTGCTAAGAGATCTGTGTATGCAGGAGCGGAGGAAGGGCGGAGGTGCGAGGGAGTGCGTGAGTAGCTATGGCCCGGAGGACTATCGCGGACTGCTGGAAGATGCTGAAATAAGGATGCGGACTACGAAGGGCTCTCTGAACCAGTAGGTTATATTGATATACGGGTCAGAAGACTGCAATGAGTGACTGAGTAGTGGTAAGCAAAGAACGGTTTGATATGTACATTAGTCGGTCATGTAATTACAAACGGACCCAATCCGAATGCAGGAGGTCTCGAGAGATACCACAGCTGTGCTATACATGTGCCTGGATTAATTTGTGCCATTCCCGCCTATCGCACGGCGAAGCACTACCATGCAGCACGCAGCACATCATCCGTTTATCGCCCAGGCAGACATCACTGTACGTACATACGGTATTGAAAGAAGGTATAGGCTTTGTGAGTTTGCAAGGTCTCGTTTCAAGAGGACGCCAGAGGTGCGGTGCTTGCTCCAGATTTCACCAACCTGTACTCGCAGACAAGGGCGGACACACCTCGCTCATACCCGTCCATGATAAATGACGCAGTGGGGGCAAAGTTCTTGCCACCTACTGTTAACAGGTCTCTTCCGTCTGATTAGGTCGCGAAGTCCGCGTCCATACGAGATGATTCAGGTGTTGTGGCGATCGCAGCAGGTAGGGCGGAGTGTTTCGGAGGGAATGAGCAGGGGCCGGGCCGCATGCCAAGCCCCACCCTCACCAGTAACTGCCTCTTCGAGACAAACCTCACAGGGAGACGATGCTCCCACACCAACCATTTGCTATCTCGCATATCGCGCCCACGACTGCAATATAAACGGAAGCTTGGTAAGGCTTGGCAGCGAGTCCATGGGGGAGACCGCCGAACGCTGCAGGCCACTGGTCATTTGTAGTCGCAAATGCTCATCAGCTAGATCTTATCGCAATCATCGATCTCCCACCCAATGAGCCAATTATAGCTGCTATGTAGCTCTTCACCTAGGATCTTCATCCATGTAACGCCATAAGGAAGATCACCCGGCACCGGCACCGGCGTAGTCGCAGCCTAGAGGCTGGAGATTTGTACTGCCACAGCAGCAGCTGACTGGCCTTCCGCCTATGTTTCCCAAATTTCTTTTCCCTCTATCTCGATGGCACATGGCGTTCACCGACGTTGGCACGTGAAACCAGCCACTACCGGCCGAACTCACCACGATATCCCCTAGGGCCGGAGGTACTACTATGCAGAACCAGTTGTACGATAGTGTGCCAAAACAGCTTCCCGTTTGGCGACGAGCACGGGATCTCCGGGGTATCGATAGTCATGCAGTAGATAAGCACCACATCGACGGATGGCTGCATGAAGGATGCTAGGCTGTAGAAGGAACTTATAACTGCAACAGTACCAATCACCGCTGTACACTGCTTTTCTCCCTCTACATGCAGAAGGAGCATCGAATATCCCCTGTTCTAGCGGTCTTGGGGCCAGTAGCATACCTGGACCACACGACAACAATGTGGCAAGGTTGGTGTATACCACCACATCGAAGTCGCAAGACTAGAGAGTGACCAGTCGAGTACAAATAGGAGGCTGTCTTCCTCTCATTCTCAGGCCAGTCCTCATCAGAGAACCAGCAGTCTTTCGCTTCCAGCTTCAGTCCGTCCCACCCCAGCTTTCCGGCCAACCTCCTTCAAGATGCAGATCAAAGATCTCCTCACCGTCCTCGCTATCCCAGCGGTGGTGCTCTCCGCAGCCATCCCTCAGGATCCCACTGAGATCCCCGACTGGGACAACGGCAGCCAGGAGGACATTGTCGGTGGAACAACCGCTAGCGCGGGTGAATTCCCCTTCATCGTCTCCCTCCAGCGCTCCGGCTCCCACTTCTGCGGTGGCACCCTTCTGAACGCCAACACCATCCTCACAGCTGCTCACTGTGCTGTTGGCCAGACTGCCTCCAGCCTCACAGTTCGCGCTGGTTCCAACGTAAGTTTCCACCTTGGCCATGAGATTTGTTTAGGCTAACAAGTTGAATCCAGAGCCGTACCTCCGGCGGTGTTGTTGCCCGTGTTTCCTCCATCAAGGTCAACCCTGGCTACGTAGCGAGCACCTACAACGGTGATGTCGCCATCATGAAGCTGGCCACCTCCATCCCTACCAGCTCCACCGTCTCGTACGCTACGCTCCCCGCGTCCGGATCCGACCCTGCTGCTGGAACCACCCTCACCGTTGCTGGCTGGTAAGTTTTGTCATTCTTATCTGTTCAGAATCTGTCCGAAACACATAGCTAACTTTCAAATTAGGGGTACTACCTCTTCCGGCGGCCAGTCGCTCCCCGTCAACCTCCTCAAGGTTGATGTTCCTGTCGTCTCTCGCAGCTCCTGCCAGTCTTCTTACGGCACCTCGGCTGTTACCGCCCAGATGTTCTGTGCCGGTCTCTCCCAGGGTGGAAAAGACTCTTGCCAGGGTGACTCCGGCGGCCCTATCGTCAACAAGTCCACCAAGGTCCTCCTCGGTGCCGTTTCCTGGGGTGATGGCTGCGCTGCCCCCAACGCCCCTGGTGTGTACGCCAACATTGGCCAAGCTACTCTCCGTAGCTTCATTGCTGCCAACTTGTAAAGTGTTTAACACTTGGTGGAGACCACGAAGCAAACGAGTATCGCAAGGCTGGGAATGGTGGTGACAGAGTGGAGGGAAAACTGAAGTGACGATCGATAAGATTCTTGTATATACAGCTTATAGCCAATTTGACTGTCACATCCTTAGCTATGTCTTCACTCCTTAACCATTTCTTCTGTGAACATGAACTCAGTCTATACTCGTCATCTGGTATTGATAGAAGGGCACTAGAGCTGACAGAGAATGAGTTTCGTGCAAAGGAAGATTTCAACACGCATCCCTCTGAAGTCTACACTGCCTTCAGGTCTTGTTTACTTCAGCTATTACCTTACTATACACGCCAGTGCACCTGTTCAGTTTCTTTCTTGTGTAAGGTGGTCGTATGGCGCGAGAGGAGAGGAGCGGGGGATAGTCCGACCTCGGCCCCTGTCCAGGTGCGCGGTCAATTGGCCTAGCCGTTCTCGGAACGAACGGCGTCATCACATCTCCCCTAATCGACTTGACATGCCTTTATCCTCAACGGCTGCGCAGTGAACCCCTGATCTGTGCCACCATGTCTTCGCGTCTTCTTAAACTTCCGCGGGAGCTTCGAGATCTTATTTATGGCTACGTTCTCGTATGCGATGTGATTCCCGTTCAAAGCGCAGCCGTCCTATTGGAAGCCCCGGCTTGCCGCAGTACCCGTGGGCTCGAGAAAGCTTACCCGTTGAGACGTCTACGCGCCCACCGACGGATCTGGCTGACACCTCGCTTCGACATTGGTCTGACCTCCGCGGAGTACGACTCAAGGGATGGGCCTACGAACATCCGAATGACATATCAACTTGCAATTCCATCAGACACGTCGTCCAACCACATCGAAATTCGATTGTTGCAAACATGTCGGCAGATATATCACGAAGCCAGAAAGGTCTTTTATGGACAGAACATCTTCAGCTTTACGGAAAGCCTCAGCATACCGACCGCTTTCGCGTTCTTGTGCGACAGGCCTGCCGAATCCCTCAAGCTTATTTCATCCATGGAGCTTGCGTTAGTGGAAGCGAGCAATATGAGAGGCACCATTGGAGCTCATTATCCCGTTCTCCGCAGGTCAACAGACTCGCTTGTGCTGCAATTCGCTTATAACCACTTCACGGATCTCTGTACTCTCTTGTCCACCACGCGCATGGGGTTACGGAGGCTTCGTCTAATGATCAGCAGTTTCCATCAGCGCTATGACACTGCGCCTTCTTCAGCGGAAGAATGTTTGTTGTGGGAGGCACAGATGACCGTTGGGCCAAGACCATGGGTCGCTTCCTGGATCGAACCGTTGTTGAAAGTCGAAACGCTCGAACACCTCAACGTACATTGGAACTTTGATCGTCCGCGGCTGCGAAGAGTGGCAGATACAATATCTCACATGCGGTGCCACATGCTTGCACAACCACGAAGCAAGCTAGCGGATGGATCAGGCTCATGCATCGATTCCAGGCTTGACTTCCAGGTGCATTACCGAGTCGCCGTGCAGAATGGCATTCCCATCAGCCGTGAATTCTCCAGGAAAGAGATGTTCAACAGCGATTGCGAGTCAGAAGATGACAGGGTTCAATCGAGCGAGGAAGACTCAACGACCGCTTGGCAACGACAGGTCCGAGACACATTCAAGGCTTCGGGATGTCTTTAGCCTAGGGCTTATCAGCAAGGTTCTGTTAGGAGAATAGTTTCACGTTGTGGTGGCTTTATAAGCGCGTCGTGACACCATTCGATGTACCTAGGGGCTGAGACCTCGGCATGTAATTGGGGATTGGTAGAGTTCCCAAAAGAATGATCGTGCAGCGACGCGATTGTCAAGCAAGGAGCTCTTGCCAAGTACCTAGGTAGCCTCCATCAGGTTAGTGCCCCGCTTTGGTAGCACGTAATCCCTGCAAGCTAACGGTCCGCAGGCGCATTCCAAAATATCCACCTCAGACCTGGGCATAGGAGGCACAGCATGACAGAGGCAATGTTTGCTGCTGCATCAACTACGCCGCAGCACAATGGCGATTGTTAAAATCCTGTGCTCCCTCAGCTCTGGTCAAAACTTACCTGCAGCTCTCAGCCGCGCGTGCTAACACGAAATTCCAAGATCGTGCGTTTCACTCGTACGGTCCGTCCAAATGTTCGGCTTTTCAGGGTCCAACCTTCCATTCAGCTCCTCATGGTCTCAGCAACCCCTTCATCATTCCAACATCTCTCGAGATCTTTCATCTCCTTCTTCATCAGCTATCATGCCGTACGGAATCATGGAGCTTGCGCACAGCAAAACATTAATTGCGTCACTAGCATTGGCAACTCACTATGCTCTTCACCGAAGCGACTGGGATAACACCTTCCACACAGTCATTGGAGTCTGGACTGTCGCCTTTGGAGGCATTGCGACTCTCGAATATGTTGCTGATACGTCCACTAAATCTCTTGGTGTCGCAATCCAACTTGCGGCAAGGACGGCAACATTCTATTTCGCCATCTTGATTGCCAGCATATTACTGCATAGGGGATTCTTCCATCGCTTGCGAAAGGCAAGCGCTTCGTTGACGTTGATCAAGTAGGATTTGCTGACATTGCAAAGTTCCCTGGCCCCTTCCTCGCCCGATTCTCAAAGTCATACGGCATCTCGGTCGGAGTACTTTCGACCAACTTCCAGTATTTCTCATGGCTCGACTCTTTACCCCAGCAGTACGGAGAAGACGTCATTCGTACTGGTCCTAGAGGTAAGCCCAAGACAATGAAGGTGTGTGTGACACAGACACTGACTTTGCCTGTCCAAATGTAGAAGTCACGGTCTACTGCGCTGACGCCGTTCCTCTGATCCATGGAGCGACTTCGAAGTGCAAGAAGAACACTATATACGACAGTATTTCCGAAGTGGCAGGGCGTTCTCTTCATTTCACAACTAACAAAGATGAACATCGACAAAGGCGCAAGATGTGGGATCGTGCATTCAACGCAAATGCTCTCCGCGAATATGAGCCTCGCTTGAACCGCCATGCTCTTACTCTCATGTCCAAGCTCAAAGAGCGAGCTACACGATCTTCAGTTCGAATTACAGACTGGGTCAACTTCTACAGCTTTGATGTTATGGGAGATGTCGGCTTCAACCGCAGCTTTGACATGATGGAGAAGGGTAAAGAAGATCCTGTCATCAAGCTATTGCATGAGAGCCACGCACCCATAAGTGTTTTTGCGCACATCTCTTGGGCGATGCGGCTTATCGCACTAACACCTGTCGGTTCTGGACCCCTCTTTGAGCATATAGCCTGGAGTGCAAAGGTTCTCGAAGAGCGGAAAAAGGTACGCATGCCATGGCGATAACCTCCATCTCAAAGAAGATTTCTCACGAATACCAGGATACACCCAAAGAGAAGGACGTTTTCTCTTCTCTGCTGGACCCAAATGACGACCGGATAACGCCCGAGATGAATTCTGATTCGCGGCTTCTGGTCATAGCGGGCAGGTAAGCAACCCCATGAAGTACTTGGTGCCAGGCGTTACGAGGTTTTGCCTAGATACGGCATTGCACTTGATCCTGTTGCAACCTCCATCTAAAGTCCCGAATACTGACATGATCATCAGCGATACCGTGGCTGCAACGTTATCATTTCTATTGTACGAGCTGTGCAAGAATCTGGAGACCCAAGCCAAGCTGCGCACCGCAATTGATGAAATCGAAACGAAGAAAGCGCATCTTAATGTTGAAGACGTCACCGAGTGTGCTTATCTGGACGGGGTAATCAACGAGACTTTGCGCCTTCATCCTGCTGTAAGTATTCACCCAAGGAGGCCATCATTGACATCATTAACACATTCAGACACCCTCCGGAGCGCAGCGCGAGACACCACCTGAAGGAATAACTCTACCCAACGGCACATATATACCCGGAAGAGTTAATGTATGGATGCCGTTCTACAGCCTGCAACGCGACCCACGATACTTTGAAGAGCCGCTGTCTTTCATGCCAGAGCGATGGACCGGCGAAAGGCTTGGTGCTATCATCGACAAACGTGCCTATCTACCTTTCTCCATTGGACCGTACAACTGTATCGGACAGAAGCTAGCCATGATGGAGCTGCGCAGTGTCACTGCCAATCTTGTTAGATCATTCGAGATCTCTTTTGCTGAGGGTGAGGATGGCAGTACAATCGAGAACAAGACCCGAGACTGCTTTACCATCATAGTGGGGAAGCTAGATGTCAAACTCACGCCACGGTACTGAGGTTGCGCGAAGAAAGAGCGACGTGCATTTGGTTCAACTTCATCTATGGTGCTATTGCCTTTTCGTTGACCCAGGTAAAGTAGGCTTTCTTAATGCAACGGCTATGTATTTTCTCCGTGAAGCTCCAAAACACGTGTCCGAAATGTCCGCTTTTGTCTTATCTCAACGTCCTTCACACATGCTTGCTACACACGTTCACTCCCTGACAGAGGAGGCATACTTTCACATGCTCCACGACGTCATCCACACTATCGCATTTCCCACACTTCCCCTCCACGTGCGACCGCTGCCTTGCCTTCGCGAGTTTCCTGAGAAAGTCCTCCCGACACCGAAAACACTGCCAGTCTTGATCGCATGCACAACCTCGGTGTCCCTCTCCCAGATCCAGGACCGACCTCCTCGCGCAGAACTCGCACACTGGCACGCGCGCTCCTTCCGTCATCAGGCGATTTCGCTCGAAGTCTCGCTCTACCTGCGCATGATGCGCGACACGACAGCCGTTACAGACCAGGAAGGCACCCCGCTCGCGAGCGTGTGTTGCGCAGGGTCGCAACTCACCAAAATGGCGCTTCATCCCCGGGAGCAACTTTTGATCGCATGCCACTCCCGCATCGCGTCTTGCCAATACGCCAGCGCGCTGCCTACCCCGGAAAAAGACCGCGTAGTCGGTAATCCTCTGCTTCATGTGTAGCGCTTCTTCCCAGTCATCTTTTCTCTTCCTGTTCCAAGCTTGGACGAGGTCTGGATAGTTTGCGGCGACGAAGTCTTTCCTTGCAGAGAGCGGCGGGGTCGTGACGATACCGGCGTTGTCGGGCTCGAAGCAGATCATGTCTAGATGTTGGGGTGTGACGTCAGTCTGTGTCTAATATGTAGGTCGTGCGGATTACATTACAGTAGGCGCCTTGATCGGCGATAATCGCAGTAGGTATGGGCAGCGGGGCGGAGGAGGGCGTGATCAGTCCGACGCTTCTGTGGACCGCCTCGATGTCTGTTGGAGAATTCGGGTTGGACATTGTAGTTGAGGTGGAAAGAAGGCGGGGTGGATACGTGTGGGTGTCGGGCCTGACAGTGAGGTGGATGTTCAGCGAAGGTCACGAAATCTCGGAGGTCACGTACGCTATGTCCGCAACAGATTTACTCACTTACCCTCACTTGTGCTGACGTTGGCATAGTTTTCACTTTGCGCTTGGCCTCCGACACTACGCTTCTGTTGCCGGGCTGGTAGTGCGTGGAGCCATACTTGGGCGGGCATCCACTCCCATGGAACAGCGCTAGAGTAATTTCGACGAGCATGGAACAATTACTGTAAAGCGAAGAAAAAGCGAAAAGACGTTGAAAAGCCGAATTGAAGTTGCGAGATGCTCTGCGGACTCTACGTCACCTAACATTGTTCGTTCCCTCCTGCGAGGATCTATTGTCGTCACAAACGCGACTTCAACCTTTGCGATTCTGCCTTCCGTTCCAAGTTCTTTTACCTTCTACCACCTCTGGCGGACAGCATATTACCCACAAAATGGCGGAACGCGAATACGGCGCTTCGCTAACTACAGCAACGGAAGCGTCCAATATTATCTCGGTACTCAAAATTAACGTCGACGCATATCCATACCGTTCCATCAGATGGCGTCCTCGTCACAACGCATCTGACGCGGTCAAATCTACTCCAGACGCCTCGAAAATCAAAGCACGATCAGACAGCCTGGTGACCGGCACTGAAACGCGCCAGACTGCGAAAAAGGTCAGCGATTCTACCGTCACTCTACCGGCGTCCGGTAGTGACCAGCCCGCTCCCGCTTATGGCCCTTCTTTCTACTTCCGAGACACATTCTTTACATTCAACCCCAACACCGTAGACCTGAACAGAATCGGCATTGCGTACGAGTACGGCGACTACTATTACATCTGTCTCGAACTACCACATCCTTCCTCCGGCGTATTTATGGAACAAAGCGGCTTCGTTCCCCGCAGTGTTGTTGGACCTTACCTCGCGGTCGAGTGGGCATCGCTTACGAAGGAGCATATTGGAGAATATGGGATCGCTGTCTGCGGTGACGACAGAAGGTGGAAGGTTCACGGTCAAGTCCTGCGGGCTGTGCAAAATAGCTGCCGCAAGACGGCAACAGCCCTGTACCACACGCCTAGGTGGCTCAGTCAATGTCATGAAGAGGAAGTGAGGTATAACCTTGGTCGGTGGTTCAAGCAGGCAGTCCATTCGGTCTATCAACACGAGAAGGAGAAGACGAATCCAAATGACGAGGAGGCAGACAAGTTCATGGAGGAGTTTATGGTGTTTGATTAGCGAGCATGGGCAGTACATGAGCAGGGTGGCTACAACCAAGATCTTTGGATTGTATAGGGAGATGTGAATGACTTTTGGAGGATGCGGAGCCTGTGATATTGGCATTGGAAGTTTCACAGGTCATATGAGCATCCAGTACTTCTGGCGGGTGGGCGCACTATTCTTCCTGGGTCTTTTTAGATCCCCTGGTCAACAGTGCGATAACCCTCGATTCAACTCATCCATTTCCGACCTCATTAGGACCTTTTTGCTTTGCATTTATTGTGAAAAAGCCAATCGCACTACTAGAATGAGCTATTTCGTATCGGGAATATTCGCATTCACTCGGTGTCATGACTTTGATCGCTACCTTGCAGGGGTCTACGCTAGACTGGGACTGCCTCTCCGAGCTACACAATACTTGCCCGTGTACTCTTTCCAGGGCACGAGATCGCATTCGATACAAAGTGAATTCATGTTCAAGCTGTGATCACTTTCTGGTGCCTAACACATGTCACAGCTGACGCTTCCCGCCACTCTCCTCTCTAGATATATACTCGGCTACTATGCCCACATAAAGTCACTAACACTCACAAAACCGGCTTACTCAACTCGTTAACACTCAAAGGACGACCTTCAATTTTGTTTCATCATGGACGCCCTATACCCCAGCGAATCCTGTCCCCGGAAAGCCCCGGCCGAGAAGCGTCGATGGAACTACGATGAGGAAAGCCAACTCATCCGTCTCATTGAGATAGAGACAATGACTTATGAACAAGCAGCGAAAGTCCTTAACCGCACCGCACATGCTACTCAGCATCGTTACGCCATGATCCGACAAAGAGACGTGAGCGCCACCATAAAATGGACTCCAGAGCTCGATGCCGCTGTGATCGACGGACACCGCCGCCTGCAGAAACCCAAAGCCATCTCTCGCGAGATGAACATCCCGGTCGAAGCGATCCAATCTCGATGGCAAGCCCTTAAGGTTATGAAAAAAGTACCGCAAAATGTTATCGATCTACAGCGGCGCAAAAAGCTTTGTCACTTCACCCCGGAAGATGACGAAGCGATTCTGCGTTTGTATGTAGAGGGTAAAGAGGACAAAGAGCTTGCGCAGATGTTGAAGATAAAAGGGAAGAGTCAGACAGAGGTAATAAACAGAAGAAGGAAGTTAGTCGCAGAGAGTTCGCCGATATACAGGCGATTAGTAAGTATGCGAAACAGTACGTTGAAGGAGAATGGGGTCAAAGTGGAGACAGAGGCACTGGAAGTGGCAGTGGGCAGAGATAAGTACGAATGGATGGAGGAAGGAACATAAAGTACTCATACGTAAGTTGTTGGGCTAAGTAATTGTACGTGCTAGACATCTTACGCGCCTTTACCCTTACTACTGCTTCCTTTGATCTCATCATCAGCGTCCTGTGGAAATTGCACGCCCATCGCCCTCATCATGTTGCCCGCCGGGCCCGCCATACCAGCCTGTCCCTTGAACGCCTTTAGCATGTTATCAGCGAGGTTGTAATCTTCGTCTAGAAGGTCATCGTCATCGTCCTCGTCTTCTTCAGCGACCTCTTGAAGCTTCCCCTTGCCCTTTCCTTTGCTATCGGACAGGAGACCTGTTCCAGGCTTATGCTCCGATTTGGGGTTGACGTTAAGCGCGCCATGACTGAAGAGCTCAGCTTCCATCATCTCAGAGAGCTTCTGGATCTCTTCGTCTTCTTCCTTCTCAGCGTCTTGTTCGAGCGCTAGTGCGCGAGCTTCCTCTGTGAGGATGGCTTTCTCCGCCGCAGGCAGTATCATGTACTTTTCGAAAGCTTGTTCGTATTCGGCGTACTCTGCGTCGGCTTCTGCGTCGTCATCTTCATCCGTGTCATCCTCATCTTCGCTATTTCTGGCCTTGGCCTTGCTCGTGCCCTTGCTCTTGGTTTCGTTCTCGGCTGGCGAATCACTATCTTCTGGGTCTTCCCATTCTCTGCCGCCAGCGTCAGAGTCATTATCAACATCCATGGGGTCCAGAACGCCATCAGCACCCTCAGCGCCTGCTTCGTTGTCGGCCAGGAAGTCGTTGAAGCGTGCAACCATCTTCTTCAAATTCTCCTCGGCATTCTTGTCACCAAACGCGTCTTTCGCGCCGCTTCCTTTGCCTTCGAGCTCCTTCTCAAACTCGGAGAAGTCAATGTTGAGCCACCCTTCATCGTCCTCACGCTTGGGCCAACTGGCGATTTCGGCGTCGGTAGGAAGTGTGTCGTCGCCACTTTCCAAGTCTTCTAGTAGAAGGGCGATCTCACGCGTCGGTTTGCGAGATGTGTATAAAGAGTGCGACAGAAGCATCTGCATGCCTGCTGTAATCTTGATTCCGATCTCTGCCTTCTCGGTTGGTCTACCAGACTTGACGAGCTGCTCCAGTGCTGCGTCCCATGGTGCGGGCGGTTCCCAATGCTGACCGAGAAGCTGAGCGTAAAGAACTTTAGTGAAACGAACGCTAACGTCTACAAAGTCTTCTGGTGGGAACGTGAGCGGGGTTTTGGACTTTTCGGGTTGAATGAGCCGGATGGAGATGGGATCTCGAAGATAGAAGGCTTCGACTACTGGTGCGATGTACGACGGGTTGCTATGCAGAATATGTGCAACCTTCCTTGGCAGAGGAAGAGTCGCATGATGTTGATTCTCCGAGATGGCAGCCGGATAACCAGCCAGGCGATGAAAAGCCTCCTTTTCAACCTTGATGTACTGCTGTGGTCGTGCTGGTGTAGCTCCGATGATCTGAATAGCTTGTGCTTGCGTCAAAGGGCCAGGCTCTTCTTCTTTCCCAAGTGGTATGATGAGTAGGCGATGACTGTTGATCCAGACTCTGTTCTCGGCAACCTCAGGGTTCAGCCATTTTGGTAGCGCATTCGCCGCTTCGATCAGGAGGAACTCTCCATCGCTGTCATATATGCGTATCCATGCGTCCTTGAACTCTTTGCTTAGTTCACGTAAAAAGTAGACAATCAGCCATTCGTCTGCCACACTATCGCCGTAGTTAGAGCGTCCTTTGAGCAGCCACCGGTGTTCTTCGCGAACTAGATCGAGCTTGAGAGAGTCACGCTGCCATATGTACTCTTTAAGGAACTTCTTCTCCAATGCGTTCAAAGCGCGTTGGAAAGCTTGCAACCGTTCCCTTGTCTGAATGTCTGAGAGTCTAGAATCGATGATAAAGACCATGTACTCCACGACATCGTCAGGCAGCTTTTTGGGAAAGCCATCGAAACCTTCGCCAAACCACTTGAGATCATCTTGGGGTCCGTCCATGGTCTAGGATGTATATTCCAGATGGTGCTATCTTTGGTCTTCGAAGCGGGTTAGGTGGAACTTGACCTCGTTATTGTTCGTTCCAGGCTGAGCCCAACGCTCGTATTGATTTTGTCGATCCGGTAGTTCTAGGACGTGTTTCTGTATCTCCACTGTTCTCGAGAGGCGGATATCGGTGTACTTAGTAGTAAAGGAGCATTCAATCCTGTGATGAAGTTTCTGGTGTAGGCGGCAAAGAGGTAACGTGACTTCAGGACGCGCTTTTCGGGTCCTTGCCTGCATGGGCTAGCGGCGGGCAGTATCCCTGTCGTGGTCCAAGCGTCCCCAAACAAACAACATCTGGAGTATGATGAAGTGGAACATGAAGCATCCGCACTGCTGAGGTGCGCCCCAAAGGACCTTTCTATTTCTCTCACTCATGCGCTGCTAGAGTACATTCTATACCATGGCGCACCTACCGGACACGCCTCGCACCGAGGTTGGCGATATGACGCGCTTTACAGTCAACGAGCCCTCATTCAGCATGGAGGAGACATTCCATGCGCCGACAGACCGCGACAACCTCTTCAAACAGATGGGCGGCGCCCGAACCCCCCGACAGCCGCTTGCATCTCGACGCCAACAGACCGCGAAGAACGAATTCACGCCCATGCTGAAGAGCGCAACCGCGAATCGCACGCGCCAGGTCAACGGACTGCTCGACGGCAAGATTACGACGCCCGCCGCGATGAAGCCAGGCTTCCAAGTGAGCAACACGCCGCTGCCCGAGGCGAGCATGTACGACATACAATCCAGTTCCTTCGCCGATTCGGTCGATGGCCGGACACAGCTGCCAGACCCCAGCTCGAGTGCTATGAGCACGCCGACCGCGCTACCAAGAAGGGCAGAGGGCGAAATGGACAACGGAAACGGCAATGTGCTCACTCTGAGAGAGCAGGAAGCGGTATGTATATCAGGGCTCACCCGGCCACGACTATTCACAGGTTCTAACACCACTGCAGCGTCTGGAGCAGATCGACAAGGAAAACTTCGGACTAAAGCTCAAGATCCATTTCCTGGAAGAGAACCTGAAGAAGATGGGCCCCGAGTTCAACCGACAAGCCATGGAGGAGAACATCAACCTTAAGTCGGAGAAGGTCACGATGGCGCGCGATATCAAGAACTACTCGAAAGACCTCAAAGCGGCCGAGAGGGAACTAGACATATACAAGCAGCAGCTGCGGGAATACGCCGAGAAGGTCAAGCGACGGCACGTCGACGAAGGCATGCGGGAAGAGATGGACGAGCTCCGACGGCTAGCCGACGAACGCGCGGCCGAGGTGGAGCGTCTCGAAAGGAAGCTGGAAGAAGAGAGTGGCGACAGCGAGGAGCTGGACAAGGTCAGAGCAGAGTTGGACGAGGCACAAGCAGAGCTCAACCGACGAGACGAGATGCTAGACGATCAGGACGAACAGATCAAGGACTTGGAGGAGAAGCTGAAGAATGCGCAAAGTTCCCAGTCTGCCGGTGACGAGGAGAAGGACCGCCAACTTAGGGACCAAGCCGGACGCATCGCCGAGTTGGAAGAACAGCTGCAATCGGCCAAGCAGTCGCAAGAAGAAGACGCCACAGAAAAGGAGCGGCAGGTGGCTGAACAGGGCGAGAAGATCGAGGACCTCCAGGAACAACTTCGTGCCGTCGAGCGCGAGAAGGACGCTGAAATCAACGCCTTGAAGTCCAAGCTCGACAGCGCCGACGACAGCAAGGACCAGGAAATTCGGGAGTTGAACGAGAGCCTGGATGAAGCGGAACATGATCTCGAGGTCGCAGAGCAGCAAAAACGCCAGGAACTCTCTGTTCTCGAGGAGCGCCTACGTTCACTGGAGCGCGAAAAGGATGCCGAGCTCCGAGAGCTGCAGCGGCACCTCCAAACCATTCAAAACGAGAAGGATGCTGAGATGGATGCACTGCGCGAACGTTTGGAGCTTGCGGAGTCTCAGGGAGACAACCAGGTTCAATTGGCGCAGCAATCCGCCAACGATGCCAGACAGAAGGTGGTCGAGATTACTCGTGAAAAGGGCGTTGAGATTGAACTACTGCAATCGAGGGTCGACGCTGCTGAATCCAGAGCCGATGAGCTAGACGACTTCCGGAAGCAGCACCAAGACGCTATGCAGCAGATTTCACGCCTACAACGGGAAGCATCCGCATACGAACAGCAGTTGCAACAGCTTCGACGTGAACTGAACCAGAAAGACCGCGATCTGGATGGGTTGGAAAGAGTACGACGTGAGCGCGATGATGCGACGCAGGAGCTTACCGGCCTTCGCTCAAACCTCAACAGCAAAGATGCTCAGGTACAGTCGCTCAACAACGCCATACGAGAACGTGACAATCTTCGTCGTGAGCGCGACAACTTGGTTTCCAAGATGTCGAGCAAAGATGAGCAAGTGGAGGTTTTGCGCAGAGGCAACAACGACCGCGACACATTGGTAGCTACTCTGCGGCAGGAGCGTAAAGACATCGAGAGCGAACTGCGCAACTTACGGTCCGCTGTATCTGGCAAGGACACCCAGATCGAGGCGCTCCAGAAGATCACGCGCGAACGGGATGCACTATCTCGAGATCTTTCGAACTCGCAATCAACGTTGCAAGCTCGTGAGCGCGATATCGCCGGCCTGCAGAGGAAGATTGAAGCACAAGAGACAACACTCAAGGAGCTCAAACAACTCAGGAATGACCTTAGTGACAGGACCCGGGAGCTGGATACAGCGCGACGGACGATAACCGAGCGCGAGGCCGAGCTTGACGCGTTACGGAGCCATGCCGACGAGCCCGATACCCAAATCGATGTTATGCAGGACCTAGTACGCAAACGCGACGACGAGCTAGAGAATTTGCGCGACGAGCTGAACGAGCAGAGGAGCCAAGTTGATGCCCTGCAACGACTTGCAGAGGAGCGCTTGGAAGCACTTGAGGAGCTCAAGGAGAACGCTCGCCGGGAGAAGGACGACTTCGAAGCTGAGATAGAAGTTCTGCAAGAGGATGCCGACGAAGTCGCCGAGGAGAAGGCCTCGCTCGAAGAGAAGATCACCGTTCTGGAATCTATGATACGCGAAAAGGAAAACGAAAACGGGGCCCTGCAATCTCAGACCCGTGCGGCACAGCGCGAACAAGAGGCCGCTCTTAAGAACCAGATTCGCGATCTTGAAGGACGGATCCGCGACAAGGATGCTCAACACCGCAAATCTCTATCCGAAGCCAAGTCGACAGCACGGGAACAGCAATCCGCCCTTGAGCGTCAACTACGAGACCTACAGTCTCATCTCCGTGAGAAGGAATCGCAGCTTCGTCTCATCCAAGCTTCCTCGAAGTCCATCCAACAAAAGGCCAACCAGGATGCGATTGATCTGGACGAACAGGCGGAAGCCCTTACTAAGCGCCATATCAAAGAGATCAACGGTCTCGCCAAGCAGATCCAGTTCCTCCGCGCACGATGCTCGCGAGCAGAGGCGTTCCGGGAAGCCCTTGGATACCAAAAGAAGTTCTTCTTGATGCAGATTCAGACTTACAATGAATGGTATGTCTCCACCCGTTTACCAGAGACTCTGTGCAGTACAGCCACTAACACCTCCCAGCAATCAAGAAGACCTCAATCTCATCTCTCAGATGGGCATCACCCCCGACATCACCGTCCACGACCGCCGACCCAAGCTCAAATCTGCAGCTCTCGCTATCATCGCCGCTATTCGAATGCAAAAGCTGGCCGATGGCTGGGCACAGAACAGGAAGATACATGAACAGCTCAAGGCAAAGTTGGAGGGTATGAGGCGGAATAGTGGAAGGGGCGCCGGCATGCCGACTAGCGCTAGGAAGAATTTGGGTGCTTCACATCTGAGGATTGCGCGGTAGGACTTGCAATACCCGTAGATGGTGGGAGGCGTAAGGCGTTCTTTGATCATTATTATGCATGGCTTGGTGTTGATCTCATGGGATGGGTGTTGTGGTTTGCCACTGTCGACTTTAGCGTAGCGTTATTGCATGGAATGAAGTCATGACATCTGCATCTGATGTGCTCGGAATACAGTGCATTGTAACGGTGTTGTCATTTCTTCAGGAAATTGGGTATCATAATTGTTCCATCGTTGCGGCCACTAGCCTCTTCTCCTTGCTGCTTCACTGCGTAATGACCATCTCATTTCTTCCTAGTCATCCCACAAACGCCACAAGCACCTGCGTCCCCGGCGTTGATGTACTGACTCCCTTCGCAAGCAGCGCTCTTGCATCGCCAGTGGTCGGGTACAAAGTCCTTTTTCAGTACGTTTGCGCAAGCGCCGCAAGTCAATGCTCCGGCCTCGTTCTCGAGGGAGCATATGGGACAGGCAGAGCTCTGCGGTGGTTGGGGTTGGGAGGCAGAAGTGTCTGGTTTGAGACGAGGTTTGAAGATCTCGGGGAGGGAGTTGCCAGAACCTGATGATGGTTTCGCGTTGGCAGACGATCGCGAGGAGGTCTTTATTGCAGACGGAGTCTTCGTTGGCTTCGGCGCTGCCGGCATACTCGAGGCTTTGGACGATGTCGTCTTCTTCGATGATTTAGGCTGCGGCGCGAAGCCTTGTATCTCGTCCATCTCCCTCCTTGCGTCACCATCTTTGTCATCTTCGTCCTCGCAGATCTTGACCAGGGCGCGGCCTTTGTTGTCGAACATGCTCTTGCCATCTACGTCTACCGCTGCGCCGTCTTGATCGCCTTCAACAAACTCGTCTTCAGTTTCGCTATCCGATGACGGCTCCTCCTTCTTTATCACGACCTCCTCCTCCTTCTTAACTGGCTCGAAACGTGCCAATGCCGCCGCAGCTCGGAGATCCCGTCCTCGTGCACTGCCAGCGACCCTAGGCTTGCCTTTCTTTGGAACACCCTTCTCTAGCTTGACTTTTGTGTCGTCGTCGGCGCCCAATGCCTGGCCTCCAGCTCCGAACTTCTTCATTATCCTTCGTTGCTTCCTCTCCGCATAGCTCAGCATGGGCTTCTCCTTTCCACCCCTCTTCCTCTTGTTTCCCTTCCGTCCATATGTGCCACCACACAGATGCTCCGGTACATCCACAGCCTCACCATCGCTCGCTTGTAGGGCTCCTGTATCCAGATCCCTACCCCTACCCCACAGTCCTTCACCAGTATATCCTTTTGCCCAGAGCGCCCTCAACTCCACCGCGTAGCCATCTCGAACCTTCCAGAAAGCCTTTGAATGATTCATCTGTTTGCAGTGCGCAAGCTCATGAACCATGACCATCTCCACCATCCTCTGGGGCAGCCATCTTCCATTTCGGTCCCTGAGCACCAGTTGTATGACTTCGCCGGCATTGAAATTGCGACCGACAAACTCGGTGTTGTAGGGGAATTCTTCGAGCGCCTGAACAAGGATCATGTGCGATTTCATAAAGGGATAACATATCGCTGCAACGCGGTTCAGGATGTTTTCCGCTGTGGACGATGTCGGGCCGGGCAGTGTGCGTATGAAGTTTATGTGCGCGTTCGGGCGTTGGGTGCGCTCGTTGATGCGCTCGAAACCGAGGACCATTGTAGGGTTTTGCGCATGCGATGACTGGCTTTCGAACGGAGAGGGGCTTAGGAACGGGTGTCGAGTCTAGAATTGCGGTAGTGGTCGTGGCAGGTGCTGCTGGGTGGCGGTTGCTGAGACGGAGATAAGCGTGGAGCGGTGTTAATCCGACGCGACGCGACTATGACACGCTGCGTCATCACCCATCACCCAAGATCTCATCTGGGTAGGAGCATCATCATCCTTCAAACAACCACATTGCGTGTGTAGCGATATATCGGAATGGTACATATTCCAATCATCATCATTGAGAGTAAGTCTACAAGAACGTGCCCAAGTTAACATGGACAGCTTTCACTTGAGTGTACGCAGACAGCGCATACGCGCCCAGCTCCCTCCCAATACCGCTCTGCTTGTAGCCACCGAAGGGGATCCCGAAATGCGAGTCCTGACTGCTGTTGATCCAAACCATACCCGCCTCGATCGCACCTGCCACACGGTGGCCCCTCATAATGTCCCGAGTGAACACAGCCGCTCCCAATCCGAACTCCGTATCGTTCGCCTTCTCGACCGCTTCGTCTTCCGTTTTGAAGCTCTGGATAACAACAAAAGGACCAAAGATCTCTTCGCGCACAATCCTCATATCATTGCTGCAGTTGGCAAATACAGTCGGCTCGACGAAGTATCCCTTCTCTGGTATGCCGCTCTGCTTGCCGCCCAAGACGAGCTCAGCTCCGTCTGACTTCGCTGTGTCGAGGTATGCGAGGATTTTCTCTTGGGCAGCTTTGCTGACTTGAGGTCCATGGTTGGTGTCGGCATCGAACTGCGAACCAATCTTGGTACCTTCTTTGGTCTGCTTCTTGAATGCTTCGAGAAACTTGTCGTAGATGGTGTCCTGGACATATAGCCGGGATGTCGCTGTGCAGACTTGACCCATGTTACCTTGACAGCTCGGTTAGTCCTGCGTACGGCAAGTGGACGTTGCAAAGAGAAGGGAGCTTACCCATGATACCCATGTGCGACCACTTCACAGCCTGTTCGAGATCGCAGTCATCGAATACAAGAAGTGGGCTCTTGCCGCCAGTCTCCAAAGTGATGTTCTTCAGGTTCGTTGCTGCTGCCTTCATGATGGCTCGGCCGGTAATGGTGCTTCCTGTGAAAGCAATCTTGTCGACATTCGGATGTTCAGAAAGCCGTGAGCCTGCGCTCTTGCCGTAGCCGTTGACGATGTTAACCACACCTGGAGGGAAGCCAGCTTCCTTGATCAAGGTGGCCAGGAATAGTGCCCCAAGTGGTGTCTGCTCTGCTGGCTTGAGCACAACGGTGTTTCCGCAAGCTAATGCTGGACCGAGTTTCCAAGCAGCCATCTATGAGGCTTGTTAAATTTGAATTACACCAGCCGGAGTCGATGGATACATACCATGACAGGGAAGTTCCATGGGATTATCTGTCCACAGACACCAAGGGGTTCGTGTTTGGTATACGCCAGCTTCGCATTGCTCGTCTCAATCGTCTGCCCATACACCTTGTCCGCCCATCCTGCGTAGTATCTGAAGACCGAGATAGTCTCAGCGACGTCTTCGTCCATGGCTTGCTGGTAAGGCTTGCCGTTGTCCCATGCATCGACGGTAGCAAGGATATGGCTGTTCTTCTCGCAAAGGTCACCGAGCTTCCACAGCAGTTGCCCTCGTTCAGCGGCGGAAATGTCGCGCCATGCGGATGACTTGAAGGCAGCTCGTGCTGCGGCGACTGCAGCATCTACATCATCCTCGTTACCGGCGGAGACCTTTGCGATTACGGACTCGTCGTAAGGATTTATCGACTCCAGTGTTGCGCCGGATTTGGAGGGGACAAATTCGTTGTTGATGAAGAGACCTAACCAATGTTAGTTGTTCACGCCTACAATATTGGGAGTTGTTGATGCTTACCAGTGGGCTGCGTCCACTTCGCGCCATTAGGTGCTGTAAGGTCGATCGACTGGGCCATTGTGGAAAATATGTATGCGGCAGAAGAAGGGTTAAGATGCAGGAAGTGTTATGCAACGAGGATAGAAAGATGCACCTCAAGGACAGAGCTGGACTTTTGGTCTTTTCATAACCTGCGCCCTCAATCAACGCGTCTTCATCACACCCACCCCGCACCGAGGTTACAAGGACGTTTGGTTCCACATGATCATACTCGGACTCGCAATGCCTATCGTCCTACGACAAGAAGCTATGCCCATTGAATTTCCCAAAACAGACAAGAACTTGACCAAGACGCGCTGCCGAAGGCATGTGGTGGTTTCCTGAATGTGGGTCCATCAACAAGGCGTCCCACACGGCAGACCCGGAACTCCAAAGGAACACTTTGGCGTCGACTTGATCAAAATGTCCACAATTTGCGCTGGCCAGTGGCTTCCTCAAGTGATAAGGTAGCCAGCGTTTCTCAGGGCCATCTTTGCCCGTCAACTTGCCATCTTCGGCTTAGTACCACACTAATGCAGAGGCTCCACTGTCAGGGCCAAAATGTCCGATCGGCATCTCGAGCACGCCAGCACACGCTTTGACATTGCCCTCCAAACTGCTTTCCCGGGCATAGTCGTTGTTCAGACCTTCGAGACGTTTCTGGTATGTTTCCAGCGGCACGGATCTGACGGCGCATCTAAGGCTTGAGCGAAAGATAAGCTTTTCCTTCACCAAAGTCATGTGCGAGCGCTCTACACGCGAAATCTGGGGCCCCGGAAACGACTACCAGAGGTCTATCATCCTTCCAAAACAGGGCATCGCTGCACCATGCACAAGGGAAAACCGAGCACTCTGGAGCCTATATTGACGCTAGAACTTCCGGTTTGGTTGTTTTATCATATGGTAGTCCGCAAAACTATTCAAGCCACCGCTTATCTCGAAGCGATGTTCTGACGAGTCAGTAGAGATGCAGTCAATACAGGCTTGACCTCGAATCAAGACACTTCAGTCCGGGGTAGAGAGCCAGTATGGACGATGCTCGCTATCTGTGGACAATGAACTATCGTCATATCTTATCATGTTGGACGCCACATTGTCGAGCATAGCGCATGTACGGCATGAGATGGAACTGCCTGTAACAGCTATATTCAGTCACCTCATGCAGACACTTGACGCCGCATCATTCCTACCCTCCTGATCTTGAGAATTGTCCTTTTCCCACCATGTCGGCGTCTAACAGCGAGAAGAAGCTCGGCAATCCAATGGGTCCGGTGACTACCCGTGAGGAGGGTGTCGTTGAGCACGTCCACTTGGGATACGACGCGCAGCTCACGAAGAACCGGTCACTCATTAGCGTTCTGGGTATGTGTCTTGCCATCGTGGCTGTACCTTACGGTATTGGCGGTCCCTTGATGAGCGCCATCTATGGTGGTGGCCAACTGTCGATATTCGTCGGCGTACTGGTTGTCCTGTTCTTCAATGGCTGTGTCGCTATCTCGCTTGCAGAGCTGGCATCACGGTATCCAACATCTTCTGGTGTGTACTACTGGTCGTACCGACTCTGCGGTGAACGAAAGAGGACACGCAAGATTGTCTCGTTCCTGACCGGTTGGTTTTGGCTCATCGGAAACTGGACCATTGCACTGTCCGTCAACTTCGGTTTCGCTTCCCTTATCGCGGCGACGGTATCAATCTACAACCCGGAGTGGGTGGCATCGGACTGGGAACTGCTTCTCATCTTCTACGCGCTATGCGTGCTGGTCTTCCTTGTGTGCTCTCTTGGAGACAGACTGCTACCGTATGTGGACTCCGTGGCCGCGGTATGGAACTTCGTTACGATCATCGCACTTCTTGTCGCTCTCTCGGTCCGCGCTCAGCAAGGTCGACATTCAGCCTCCTACGCGCTCGGCAACTACAACAGCAGTTTCTCGGGCTGGGGCACGGGCTTTACGTTCTTCATCGGTCTCCTGCCACCAGCATACGCTTTCTCCGCCATAGGCATGGTGACATCAATGACGGAAGAATGCGCCCAGCCCGAGATTGAAGTTTCTCGCGCTATCGCCCTCTGCATACCCTTCGGTGGTCTCGCATCGCTCCTGTTCGTCCTACCGCTATGCTTTACGCTGCCACCGCTCGAAGACATCCTCAACGCACCCTACGGCCAAGCGCTGCCGTACATCATCTACTCTATCATGGGCTCAAAGACAGGAGCGCTGATATTGATGGTAATGATCTTATTCGTCACTCTCTTCTGCGCCATTGCGATCACGACTGCTGCTTCACACTGCACATGGGCTTTCAGCCGCGACAACGCGCTTCCCCTCGCTGGCCTCTGGACACGCACTATCGCCGACCTGCCCATCTACTCGCTCACGCTCGTCACAGTCATCGAGATGCTACTCGGTCTTATCAACCTCGGCTCCAGCAGTGCGTTTACTGCTTTTGCGTCAGTCGGCGTTATCGCGCTCGCCATCGGCTACCTCGTTCCTATCGCCATCTCTCTCTTCACCGGTAGGAGAGAAGTCGCACATGCCAAATGGAATGTCGGTGGCCTGGTGGGCACCGCAGCAAACATCGGTGCTGTGGCATGGATTCTGTTCGAATTGGTGCTTTTTAGCATGCCGACTGCGCTTCCTGTTACTGAGGTCACGATGAACTACGCTAGTGTCGTGTTGGTCGGCTTTGCGTGTTTGAGCGGGCTATGGTATGCACTCTCTGGCAGAAACAGTAAGTTCCAATGTTCATTCGCATGGCCATGCACTACTGGAGTCTGTACTGACATCGCCCAGAGTTCAAGGGTCCCCCTGACGAGGTGGATGATGTTTACTAAGGTGTACTATTTCTTTGCCCTGGTTGTCGGATGATCACGCTTTCTTATGGCCCTCGTAACTCTTGTATCATGGCCTCCTCCGGTGCAGGAGATTACACATTTTGTCTGGATTGCAGCCTTTCGTGGAAGAAGTCCACTCGATTGCATTCGATTCTATCTGGTAGCGTCCTTGGCCAGGAGTGTACATCGTCTTCAGAACTACCTATATGTCAATATCTGAGAGTATGTATGCAGCAAACTCAAAATAGCTCTCCTGGTAATGTGAACCGTATGTTATGCAAAAGGTGCAGCGTGGCATTAAAGCGCCTTCACTATAGTAAAGGTGTGAGATGTATGGGCTACCTGGCCCAAGGTCACATGCTTGAAGCTTAAGCCTCATCAGCTGAGTAGCAGGCATAGAAGCACTAGTTCATGTTGTAGACCACTCAAGTACAATGAGGCGTGTGTATATGCAACAAACTATATCTATACTGAGTCTGACAGGGAAGCCTACGCTCAAAACGGAAATTCACCCTCCGGCTTCTCCAACACACCACTATCAACTTGCTTCCTATGCTCCTCGTCCAGATACGGGAGTAACAGTCCTTCCCAATGCTCTCGTCCCTTGTAGTAACTAACCGTCTCATCCCAGCTCCTGATCGCCTCGGCCAGTCTTCCTGGTACATGCGGCTCCTTCGCAATGGTCGTCACCGGCTCGAAGTATGTCCTGATGGTGAAGAGTAGAGCTTTAGACTTTGGTAGACGTCGCAGAGATTGCCGTTCGGAGCGGAAGTGGATGTCTTCGACACGGAGACCTTTGGAGTTGGCAGTAGCCCATGAGGCGACCGTGTTGGAGTTTTGGTCGCCCATGCGGTGGGACCAAGCAAGACCGTCATCGAGTTGGATGAAGAACTACAGGTCTATCAGCACTGGTACACCGGTATTTGGAGTGATTGTATCGCTACTTACGTTGTTCCGAATGACGGGTTTCTCACACGTCATATTGGCGAAAAAGCGATTCATGGCCTTTTGCAACTTCTCTTGGTAATGAGGTACACCGGCTTCAATATGGAGTTCGTCGAGCGACATGCGGTATTTCTCGGTCAAGCGCCAGAATCCAGGCAGGCAGACGGCGCCAGCATCGATGTGGTATTGGCCATCGTCATTCAATACCATGACTACGAGATCGTCCTGTACTAGCTTTGCTGCGGTAACCATGGCTTCCGTCGGGTTCGGTGCTGGGTACTGAAATTCTTCACCAGTGACTGTGTTATGAAGGATGTTGCCGTGCAATTGGAAGACTTCCGGATAGCGATGCGTGAGATATTGCGTCAGTTCTTCCAGGACCTCAAAGCATGCGAGGCGCGTGACTTCGTTGTCGACATATTGTACCCGGGATTTGACGTCCTTCTCGAGCTCCCGAACCTTGGCGTCGTGATAAGGGATAAAATTCGAATCCATTTCAATCCACTGGTTCCAATCCATTTTCCGGATCCCCATTGTTACAAAGTTCGGGCCATGGCGGAAGGGTCGATAGAGCTTGGGATCCGTAAGCTCAAGTTTGTAGTCCTCCGCCGGTTTCGGTAACGGAGTCTTGAATGGTATGGAAGGGACTTAGAGAGGTCAGTGCTGCCCAAATTGATGATGTCCTGATCAACTGCACCTTTTTGCTTCATGTCGTAAGATGGAGAGAGTTTGTTACTCGAAGTCTTCTGCATCCGCCATACCAGGCCAACCGCAAGTACAACCAAGAACGCCGCAAAGCCCAGAGGCGTCAAGACTGGGTTGATCGATAACATGTACATTAGGTAGTAGTATTTCCCCGTGCGCTGCTTCCAACGACGCTTCAAGCAGACGACAAGAGCAGTTAAATGCTAGATCATCGTGAGATGGACGTCGACAATGGCGAATGACACCATTGGCGGCTATCTACACCTTAGCGTAGGGTCGCGTGTATAGGTTTGCAGGGAAATGTGGGTCAAGAAATGGCCGCTGTACTTGCCATGCTGGGTATAGCTCGAACTGCAAGGCATCGCCACGCTAAACCCCGGTCCCATATCTCGTGGCGAAAACGAGGCCTGGTAACCTTCCATGTTGAGATGTTCCGTGGTTCCAGCGGCATCATTCATATCGGAGATAGGAGCTTGTTTGCTTGTGTCAGATATGGATTGCGGGGACGCTCCACTTCCGTTCGTCAAGGAGAGCAATTCAACGATAGCGAGCTTGTCTATACCAGAGCGAGGCAAATACCGGGCAACTTTGAGTTGTTGGACTCTAGATTGAACATTCTTGTCGTAGTCTGGGGCTTGACTCCAGTGCGATGACGCGGAGCTGTGTTGCGAACATTCATTACGGGACCCAACAGCGGAAACACGCCCCATACGATGCATGGGTCTATAAGTCGCGATCATCTCCAAGACCGTGTTATAAGCTTCTTCGCCCGACTCCTTCTCGACTAGAACACTTGTCACCAACTTCTTCTTCATTTCGCCCCAAACGCATTTCACTATCGACATCGAGAACTTCATTATGGCAACGTTCGGAAACTATGCTGGAACCGAATCCAAATCGAAAGCTTTCCATTACTCGCAAGCTGTCAAATTAGGAAACGTCGTCCGTATTTCAGGCCAGGGTGGTTGGGATGCGGAAGGAAACGTAGCACCAAACGCGGCAAAGCAAGTGGAGCTAGCGCTTGAGAACATTGAGAAGGCTCTACAATCTGTCGAAAAGGGCGTGTCCTGGAAGAACGTATACGCTATTCGATCGTACCACACAAACATCGACGAGTCTGCGGACCTATGTATCGAAGGCTGGCGACGCGTCATGCCTGATCACCGACCGGTATGGACATGTGTCGAGATTACCAAACTTAGTATCGAAGGCATGCAAGTCGAAATCGAGGTGGAGGCTCTCGTTGAATTGGAGTGAGGGAGGCGGTACTCAGACATTGGTAATGTGCTGGGATACGGGCACCAAGAGTGGCTACCATTCCTGTCGCATTTGCTGCATATACACTCTTCAATCTTAACAACTAGATAGTCCTTAGAGTCATGTATACATCTGGCTTGGAATCTCTGTAAAATGCGACATGAATTATGGCCGTCCCTGGTGCAAACACTAGACAGTTGAGCAAGTGGCTGGTAGTCGTAGGGCCCGGAGGCATTTTGCCGGAACTATCGCAATCTTCTGCTATAGCAAGAACCGATGAATTCTTTCATATGACCAATGTACACATGGCGGTGTTCTTGAAACTTCCGCTCCACGTAGTAGGATTACGAGACGGTTGCCAGAGCGCCTCCAAAGTTGCCCGAATAGACAGCACGGACTCGAATCGCAGATTGTTGTGTATGTTCCCCAAAATCTTCATCACACATTCCCGATGGGCCTCCAAGAGTGCATGTGCGCCAGCAACATAGAGTGGGAAAAGAGCACAGTTCTGTGCTTTAGATCTCGTATCCATGCCTTGTATACACTCCAGACACGCATGGACATGCTGTTGGAGAAGAAAGTGCTTCGTGGGAATGTCGTGAATAGCACTGTAAAGGTATATGAGGCCTGCGTGCTGGAAACAACGGACAAGTGAGAGCGATGCCGTTGTAACAGGGCTTAGCAGGTCTTGTCCTGCGTCTCCATCTGGACACTCTAGCTTGGAGTACGTGGGCTGAAGCGCATGCTCAAAGGCCTGCGCCTTCTCGACGCAAACTTCGGCTCCAGTTTGTAGCTCGTGGCGGTAGAAGCTCATCTCAGCCAATGTGGATAGAACAGACCCGAGTGATGTAGTGCCAGGGACGACTTCCCACCATACTGATCCTGACTCCATTGTCTCCCAAATGGAGGCTGGGAACGAAGGTTTTCTGTCTTGGAGCAGGGCGTCTGTCAGATCGGTGGATGCTAGTTCCGAGAGTAGCATTCTAGTCATTCTATCTGACGATGACCATGCTGCTCGAAAGCCACCCATTGCGTTGATGATTGCGATCGCTCCTGCAAGGTGACAACCGGTCGAAGCGTCATCTGACATGCAGTTGACATAGCCTTCCAGGAAGTACAAAAGCAGCACCGCGACTAAAAGTGCGGAGAGCGCAGCACCATCGGATTGCTCGCTGCTCAGTTGGCCGCGGATAACTGACAAGCAATGCAAGCGTCTCCTCTCAAGAGTCTGTTTGGACGATCCGCGCTCTTGCAGCGCCCGATGCTCCTCGGCAAATACGCATAGGGCCTGGAGGACAGGTTGAGAGCGCAGGGCAAGTGCGACTGGTGGCGGGACTGGCTCATGAAGAGTGGAGAAAAGTGGCCATAACCGCGCTTTGAAGTATTCCAGTGCTCTTCGCTCATTGACTGCCAGGTGAATGTTATTGAGCGAACGCTCGATGGATAGCTGTGGGATGCATTCGGGCACCGTTTTAGCAGGTCGCTTCTTCCATCTGAGTAGTAACTTGTCGTAGCTGCAGTCTTCCGCGTTTGTGGAAAGGAGGCATCGTCGGCATGTGGGCTTCTGGAGGTCGCATTTGACTCGTCTTTGCTTGCAAGGCCAGCACGACCCTTCAACCGTCCGTCGACGTTTTGGCGGACTGTTGCCAGAGGATTCCGGACGCGACATCTGTCTGCATGACGTGATAAGGGTCGCGATTTCAGAGTAAGAGTGACGAGGTTGCGAAAGGGGAGTACCAGTCGATATCAGATGGATGATACGAATGTCCGACTGATGCGAATCTGCCCTCAGTATTGATGCATGAAGGAACAAAGATCGAAAAGGGCGAGACGCGTCGAGGCCTCCGCTGATCGGGGCCCCCGATTGGCGCACGCCAAGACCATTATTCCCGCTAGAGCCGTGGCCTCGCCGCTCCACCAAGATATCTCTCTCTCCATCAATGCGATAACGACGTCTGATGGGATATTTGTCACTGTTGAGTATTATGGCGGTAAGGGGTCAGGGACGTTTATGCTAACGCTTGGAGCGAACAAACAATCAAGCACCGTGTCAAGGCTCATGCTTTTGCGGGCCGAAGAAGCCCTGGAGGCGATAGGAACGGTACATGAAGCTCAACAACCCTTGAACCCTAGACTCCAACTTCTTCAACCCTTTGCTGGGCTGTTCTGCCATCGAATCTCATGGGCGTCCAACCTCCGAGCGTCGGATCATCCAACACTTTGGTTCCGGACGGTGTCAGGCTGCATCTAACGTCAATAGCTTTGCTTGTTACCGTGCAACACGTTGGTACGGTAATGGTACCTGCATTAAAGCGGAACCGCGCAAGGTAAGCAGAAGCACCTGCAAGACCCTCGCTCCTCACACCTTCTATGTGCGCGTCGATGCGCGTTCTGAACGCTACTCTCAACATTGACGTCCTGAAAAGCAATGGACACCGGCAAAGGGTGGCAGATGCTGGGCTTACTGCCATGAACAAGCCCTTTGTTGAGACAGCAGATTGCGAGGGTAATCCATTTGGATGGAAAAGTGTTCAGTTACTGCCAAACACCTACAGGGCTGAGCATTTCAAAGGTCATGTGCTCGTGGTGGCTCCGGCTCTCCACAGCAGCGGCTGCACGATCACACTAGTGTCGTCGATCACTTGGCTCAGCTCTTCTACAAGCGGTCGATGGACTGGAGGCTTACCGGATCACCTCAATTACTAACATCACCGTTCGCTAGCGGAAAGCGTCAGTGGCTCTTGTATCGCTATCTTGGGGCAATACCCGAAAGCAGCTCGAAATCGCATGGCGCGCCATGCCACGACACCTGGGCATACAAGCGAATCCCAGCTGATGGTACTAGCTTGTGTAGCTGAAGAACAAATACACCGCTTAGTCGTTGTACGAGTTCACGTATGTGGGACCGCAAGGCAAGTGGCGTATTCTTCCTCGCGGATGATGGGCTCAGGTCCCGGATCACCATGCGGAGAGTATTGAGTTTTGACATGCCAAGCGAACACGCGAGATCTGGACAAGCCACCATGCATCTTCACGAGAAAACACGAGGCTATCGTGGCTTCGTAGAATTCTGGACAACGGATACCGACGCTAGCGGCACCGGAGAATCGCAAAGCGGTATGCTGCTTTTCGGCAGGGTGCTCTTCCGCACTCAAGTATTGGTGGCATTCACGCAGGATGCTGTGACTGTACTGTCGATATTTCGCTCTGGGCTGTACTTGCTTGTCGAATGGCGAGTGTTTCGACTCACACTCTTTGAATCAGGCACATGTCTGCAACAGCTAGACCGTTCGCAAATGCGCCTCTTCGCAAGCTTGGCACCTTTTTTCTAGGCGGCGACTGCTAGACTGCCCTGACTTCCTACATTGACGGGATCTACCTGTCTCAAAAGGTCATTAGTCTAGGCTCGGCCCTGCATATCGCTGTCATGACCATCACTTGGTAGCTGTTTGGCTGGCTTTCCTCAACCGTATCGCCTTAAAGCGGCTGGCTTGGCCTAGGGCTACAGGGATAGATTACTATTTCGGGGACCGAGCTGTATCCCTCTACTCAATGTGGCTTGCTGTGGCCTCAACTAAACGGCGTCTTGGTTCCATGCGGGACTGTGATCGGCGAGAATGGAAGGCCCGGGACTTGGTACACCGTTGCTGTTAGGAGACAGTCGGGGAATATAAGGATGTTCCAAACATCTTGTCTTTTTGTTCCTCATCAGCTCACAGTTGCTCCTCTTACACTGTCTTATAATTTATTGTTCATAATCTTCTCGGTCGTTACTTACCTCAGCTGCCATGATGGTCCCTACTAAGTCCCTGGCGTTGCCACTCATCGCTCTATGTTCGATAGCATCATCAACTCCGTTGGAACCCCGTCATGCCGCACCCGGCCTTATCGATGGCATTCTCAATGGTGTTCTCACAGGCATTGAGCAACTCATTGCGGACGTTCTGTCTGGTAAAAAGTCACCTATCGACAACACCAAGACGAACAAGCCGTTGACCTGCTCATTGTTGAGTATTGACAAATGTTGCGTTTGTGAGTTACAACAATCCTCCTTAATCGTCTATGGTCTAACAGATATAGGGTATGATGTCTCTGCCGAGCTTACCAAGCTGTTTGTCGACCCCAAGGACAAACAATGCAACGACAACGCTCGTGCCGCAGTCCGTATGGGCTTCCACGATGCTGGGTCTTGGGATAAGAATGCTCTCAATGGTGGTGCCGATGGATCGCTACTCATGGACTTTGGCGAGCATGAAAGACCCGAGAACAACGGCCTTCAGAGCATTCGCACAAAACTTCGAGATGTACAATCCAAGTACAAGGTCGGATACGCTGATCTCGTCCAATATGCGCACAATCACGCAACAATCTCGTGTCCGAAGGGGCCCCGCGTACTTACATTCGTTGGCCGCAAGGATGCGACCAAGGCCGCACCCAAAGGACTTCTACCTGACGTTCATCAAGACGCCGACAAATTGATCGCCATCTTCAAGGACAAGGGTTTCTCGCCCCACGATCTCGCAGCACTCGTAGGCGCCCACGCAACAGCCAAGCAACGATTCGTGGACGTCCGCCCAGAGGTTGTCGACAAGCCACTCGATACGACCCCCGGTGTCTGGGACGTCGAATTCTACAACGATACTCTAAACAATCCCTCCGGTGGCAGTGCTGATCAGAAGGTCTTCGTCCTCCCAAGCGACAAGGTGCTATCGACACATCCCAAGATCGCCGATGAGTGGAAGTCGTTTGTTGGTAATCAGGTCCATTGGAACCTGGACTATGCGAAGGCTTACATCAGGATGAGTCTTCTGGGTGTAGAGAAGAGAGATTTGATGAAGTTGGTGGACTGCACGAGGACACTGCCCATTAGCAGGCCCTCATTTCCTTAGTGTACATGATTTACAATACCCTTACGCGCATCGCAATTTAATTCAATAATTACTATGACAAAATGGCTCCATTTCATATGCATGTTTGGCACGTGCGCGTTTATTTGACGTATCGACCAGGTAAGAGCTCAGAAGCCCTGGATGGCCCCTTCAGGGACCGCATCTGGAGAGGGTCGCTGAAGACGGAGTTGGATAGCGGCAATAATCGTGACTCAGAACCATCGAAAGGGGAGAACTTAGACGAAGCAACTGGTGCAACCCTTTTCAGTCATCACACTTGGCAAAAACTTTGTTGTGTCGAGATGCGATGAATGAATCGCGGTGCATGGTTGGTCTACCAGATAAAGCCAGGCGGGGTGGCTGACATAAGCGGGAGGCAGGCAAGGGTCCAGGTCAGGCGAGTCGAGCTTGCTTGTTTGTAGTGCGGAGAGCAGGTAGCTCACAAACGTCACGGCCGGCACACGAGCGTCACCACCACCACGCTCCACCCGCACGCTCACAATCCGCGACCAGGTTTCGAGACACGATACGAGCGACGTAAAAGATAGCAAAGGACACAATGGCAACTCAATTCTTGAGGGCGGCGGCTCGCGCCGGCGTTCGAGCGCCCATGGCTGCTTCCCGCGGATTCCAGACAAGCGCTGTGCTGAGGCAGGATACTGTTGTTGCGCCAGTGAAGAAGCCCGTTGGTGCTTTTAGGGGAGGGTGAGTGCTCATCCCGCAATTGCATTCTATTGAACTGGGTTGGACGGCTATACAGCCACGGAAGACTGTCACATGCCATCAGGCAGGCGCGACGCCGAACACCATCTACTAGAATGGCAAAGAAGGCTGAATTGTTATGGCTAACACACGTCAGATTATTTGGCTTCCTTCTCGGTGCTACCGCATCCGGCGCAGGCATGTACTACTATGTCATTGACGAATACCGCGTATCGAACCAGCTCCTGACCGAGGACATCTACGTACGTCATTCCTACATACATCCTTTACGCACAAGCTCGATCGCAAGAACAATACATCGGGGCTATACATTTGAAGCAGGCCATGGCTAACGAAAGCAGGCTCTCCAATCCGCCGTCCAACGGATAGAAGGCTACGTTCGAACCCTCGAGGACAAAGTCGATGCGAAGAAGCGATAGATCACCCACCGCATACCTATCAAGCGACGATTACGCGGCCGAACCTGCGCAGCGCGCCGAATGGGGACTTGCACGGGCGGAGCAGGCAGTACAATACGATGGACCAGTGGGATGGAACACGCATGTACACTACGAGATTGGACTCTTCTCCGTCATTACGAAAGCTGATACTCGTCGAGTAACTACCTTATACCAAATATATTTTAGGCTGTTCATGGTGGTGTTTTGGAACCTGATGATGATATTGTGACAGGCGCCCTCCACCTGAACCTGACATGCGGACTTGAATAGTGGCCTCTCTGAAACTCTGTCCAACTACGAGATGATTGCTTCACCGTTTAGGAAGTCGCGTTTGCAATCAAATGAATGCGTAATTACACGCGCTTTCGTGTGCATTTTAGTCTATTATTTAACACATCATTATGTGAGATCTATTCACGAAACCAAAACTAAGGCCGTTCATGCCATTTACCATCAGATGCCCCCACTTATCCTATCCGACTCAAATCGTCGCTTCACAACAGCGTAAGCGGCGCGATCCACTCGCACTTCGGTGGCGTAACAGGTATGTCTTCATCATCGTTGAATCGCCCGAGCTGAGCAACACGCTTGTAGATCTCCTCTAGAATCCTACCTTGCTCGCCCTCATACTCTTCTGGTTTGCCTTCCTTGTAACGGTCCTTGGGATCGATGGGCTTGCCATCTGGTGTAACACCTTCAACATGGGGGCGCGGTGCGGAGCTAGGCTGGGCTATGGAAGCCGGCTGAGAGGTAGCCTGAACAGGGGCGGGAGGGTTGCTAGGCTGGCTCTGTGTCTGGGGGGTGAAGGGAGAGGGTGAAGGCGTGGAGGCTGCTGGCGCGGCAGATGTTTGAGGCTTGAGGAAGGGGTTGGCAGCTGCCGGCTGCGTTGCGTTGTTTTGAGGCTGTTGGGTGCCGAAAGGTGACGGCTTGCTTGGTTGTCCGAAGGCCGGGGTGGTAGATGATGCAGCACCACCAAAGGGGTTCGCCTGTGCAGGTGCTTGTGTAGACGGCTGCTGAGGCTGACCGAACGGATTCGGTTTCTGGGTCTGTTGAGCTTGCTGGCTAAACGGTGAAGGTTGAGCTGGCTGCTGGGCAGCTTGACTGAATGGTGAAGACTGGCTTGGTTGCTGTGCTTTGTGGCCGAAGGGAGATGGACCTGACGAGGCTTGCTGACTAAATGGTGACGCGCCAGACGAAGCTTGCTGGCTGAAAGGAGAGGCATTGGCACCTGGTTGAGCCGCCTGTCCAAATCCGCTCTGTCCAAAACCTGGTTTACTGAAGGGGCTTGGCTTTTGTCCAAGAGCGTTTGCTTGGCCGAAACCCGACGCCGCACCTGGTGCTGATGGCTGGCCGAAAGCAGATCCAGAACTTTGGCCTATACTGCTGACTTGCCCGAAAGCGCTTCCTGTACCAGGAGCTGATGGCTGGCCGAAAGCAGATCCAGAACCTTGACCCATACTGCTGGACTGGCCAAATGCGCTACCTGCACCAGGAGCTGATGGTTGGCCGAATCCGGAGGCACCAAAAGCAGGCTTCCCAAATGCACTCCCACTACCACCGCCCAAGGCTGAAGGTTGGCTGAACCCAGAGGCACCAAAGGCAGGCTTCCCAAATGCACTTCCACTACCACCACTCAAGGCCGATGTTGAACTTGTCTGAGCGGGTTGACCGAAGGCCGGTTTGCCAAATCCTGGATTACCCAACGCAGAAGCAGCGCCGAAGGCCGATGTTGAGCTTGTCTGTGCTGGTTGACCGAAGGCCGGTTTGCCGAATCCTGGTGTAGAAGCCTGCCCGAACGCGGATGGTTGAGATGAAGCTGCAGCAGTCTGGAACGGGGTCGCTGGTGCTTTCATGAAGGGATTCGCAGCAGTGTTAGACGATCCAGTAGGATTGCTTGCTGATCCGCTTGCTGCAGTGCCCTTGGCGATGTCGATGCGGTTGGGATGTACGTTGGCACCCTCTGCGACATAGTTGATAGCACCTGTGATATCATCCAAAATCGCCTTTACTTGCTGTTGCATCTTCTCGCTCAGCGCTCCCTCTTCTTGTTGCTACAGACCGTTAGTTATCAAGAACCCAGCGCTGAACTTCAGACTTACCGCTGTAGGCTCATTGCCTGCCGCGCGTAATGTGTAGTACCGGGATCGAAGCTCCTCTGGACTGATCTCGACAGGCCCCTCGATGAGCTGGCGCGGAGCATCTTTCCCGGGACCGTAGCATGAAAGCGGATAGATCGGCCGCTCTTTGGCGAGATCGATCTGAATGGCGTCTTTGTCTAAGCTGAAGGTCGATGATTTCTGATCACGGTTTCCACCAAATGAGTTAGTCCCGCTGTTATCACTTGGGCGATAGCGGTCGCCGTTGAAAGCACCAAAGCGGTTGTTGGTAGAGCCTCCGCCAAAGCCGCCTCCGCCTCGAGCTGCATCTCGCGAACTTCCAGGATGCTCGAATTTGCAGGAATCTCCGAACTTGCAAGCATTGCGCTGATAGAAGCCACAGACAGTCATGTCGCCTTGGTTGCCGTTATAGCCTCTTTGTCCGGGGTCAAGATCTGGAGTTCGCAGTTGACTGGGGTTTGTTAGCAACGGTGAGATTTTACTTGTGTTGTCAACTTGTGGACGTCAATGAAAGAGGCAGTCGCGGCTGGTATGAACGGAAACTGCGAGGGTTCCAAGGTTCCGGCGGACGGACGCGACGCGCTAGTAATTAACGCGAACAAAGCACGTCAACTAAGAAAAAGACCGAACAGGCCTGCAGCCTACATCGACGTGAAAACCTGCAAGATAGGTGACCTAGCGTCGATGTAGGCTCTAGACCTGTTCAGCTTTTTTCTTGTATAAAGTGAGAGCGCCAAATCTTGCCCAGGTGGTTGCGATTCACACAGCAGTGAAACGCCGTTGAAATCCATTACTTGTAGTTACCTCTGCCCATCGAAGCGCACTCTCGGTGTTCCCGGCCCTCTGCCCGTCTCTGCCCATATCGACCGATGCATGTGGCACTGGGAATGCTCGTCGCAAAATCGCGCTAAGCAATCAACGTAGACAGTATGGAAGTAGAGTAGAAAGAGTTGACGAGACGAAATCAAGCACCTACCGTAGCACGGCAGCTGATGTATTATAGCTGCTTGTCGAAAAGGGTGAATCTCCTTGTGCGTCTGGGTGTTGACGCTTGCCTCTGCAGTGGTGTTCACCGTTCAATGTTGTCGAGGACGGAGAGATGAACGCTAGGCCATTTCAGCTTTAGCGTCACATTCCGATGAACCGGACCTTCCACGTACGCGATCGTCGTCTTTCTACGCCTCGCGCATTAATGCATTCAGCGCCATGTACGCCCAAGCGCACTACTTCATACCAGTGTCAATTCACAGAGTGAAAGTCAGGACGCATCGCAGACACTTGCGCCTTCCTGAATGCTAGTCTAGTATTCGCGCAGTCCCCCTTCGACCTTTCCGAATACAACTTGGCATGACGGCGTAGATGCACGCTTTCTCCATTCTTACTATCGGAATCTTCGTCGCAGGGTACTCGACCGCCCGTTGGGATCTTGTGACGCGCGTCTACGAACTAGGTATCTTTGCCTGGGATCACGGCGTTGTGACACGGACTGCTAAGGGTTTCTGCCTGCTGTCCCTGCTGTTCTTCCTCTTCATACTACCGGTTGTGCGCATCGCGACACAAGAGACAGACTTGGTCAGTATGAGCCTTGATCGCACTTCCGGGTCCCTACTAACAGCATCAAACAGCATCCCCGACTCGCAGGCACCGGCATCTCTGCGCGCGAGCAGCTCAAACGTCGCGGTTCCTTCTAGTCTAGCGGGGTAGCAGGATGATGACATGGTCACACACAATGGGTTGATGCGCGTATTCTGGCCGTCAGACGCTCCAAAGGACTCTGCGCCGGGCGTTCTGGTGGGGTTCAGAAACTCGAAGTCAGATGTCTTTGTGGTAGCTGTGCTTCAAGAAGTCGAGTTGCGTCAAGTCGAGAACGCGCTGCTTGTCGGGACCTTGCTGCGACACAGCCCACACGATGTTCAGGAACTACTTCAACGATGCGGACACTCCTCGATGCGCGCTTTGGGCTACGTCAACCCCAAGAGCCCAGTCGAACAGCCTGATACCGACCTCATCGTAGTCCATACCGACCCCTCGTTCCGCTTTCCGCGCCTTCATTATCCTCACGAACCGCTCGTGGCTATGCAAGTCATCGTATACGACCGACCGCACCCAACGCGTATGCAATACCTCTCGCTCAAGCCTATCACGCTCGCATTAGGAGACAAAACAAGGGTCGCGGAATGGGATGTAGCTTTCGAGGAGCTGGAGAAAGCAGAAGAGAAGGAGCGGAGAAGGAAGGCACATCTCGTTGAGAAGCTCAAGCTGCACACGGTCATTGCACACCCGCGCACTCAAAAGGAGCTGGCGTTGCCGATGCTCATCGAGCAGGTGAACTGTTCGCACGAATTGAACGCCCTATTGCAGAAAAACATCGGTATGATAGGCAGGCGCATGAAGCGAGCCTTGAGTGTCAGTGAGCGGGTCGTCGAGTCTGCGAACGATCTCTGGGACTATATATGGCTTGTCCTCCATTATGCGTTCAGAGTCTGGATATGGCCGGTAGCCGCACAACTCTTTATCTTTGGGCTCATCACGCATCGCATAATGGGAGAGGCAGTCCTTCAGCTTCTACATTGGCGGCCAGGTTCTTCCGACTCGCCAGCTCTGAAAGACATATCTGCAACAGCGCAACAGATCGACATACGATTACAACAGTCCTGTTACTGGCCCATTCAGTATCTCACCTTACGAAGGAGGAAAATCGATTGGGAAAGCATCACTAACAGTCATCCGGAGTATATCCGGTTCTACAATAGTCTGTGGCTGGTTGCCAACGATGTCATAATGGGCATCGCTGTTGGAACATTCATCATCGAGAACGCTTCGTTCGTGGCAGCTCAGGTCGATACCATATTCAGTACCTGGTCAGTCGACGGTCTACGGCGCATGATATCATGGCTTATGGGATGGCCCGGAGGCTTGAAGTTGAACACTGAACTGGCTGCGTTCCTGGGCGACCTTTTTCTTTGGGTCATTGATTACTGGGCGGGATGTATATCACTCCTGCGGCCACATCTACCTGCGCTGATCCAGATCATTGGCTTTTCCGCTTTCGCCGGCGCCACTATGCCCATCTCAATCTTCTCGGACCTCGTTTCGCTGCTGACGCTGCACATCTATTCGTTTTACGTCGCGTCTGCTCGCATCTTCCATTGGCAGCTCACCATCATCATATCCCTCTTCCATCTTTTCCGTGGAAAGAAGCGCAACATCCTTCGCAACCGAATCGACTCATGCGACTACGACCTGGATCAGCTGTTGCTCGGCACGATTCTTTTCACACTGCAATTCTTCTTACTGCCAACTGTGTTCGTCTTCTACCTGACGTTCGCGAGCGCACGCATTGCTGTCATAGGACTGAAGGCTGCGCTGGAGATGGGTCTTGCCTGTCTCAATCACTTTCCGCTCTTCGCAGTCATGTTACGGCTGAAGGATCCTGGAAGACTACCTGGAGGAATCTGTTTCGAGCTGCAAGACACGACCGATGTTAGCTCTAGTACGGCAAGTGAGACAGGCTCACCGCCGACCGCCTATGTGTTGCTGAAGGTAAGTCAAGTTTCTCAATCCTATAACGTATGTGAACTCACACTATGCAGTCGATCCCGCTGTCACTACGCGCGATGTTTCAACCCTATTTCGACCTCGGCGATCGCATACGCAAGCACTACTTCTCGCCTAGCGTCTTGTTGTATCTCGTGTCGGGGCAGTTTGTCCCACCCATCCACCGCCGCAACTTATACAGCTTGCAATACAGCATGCTCCCCGCCAACAGAGCAAGTATAGGCGAGCTGTGGAAGAAGCTGACAGAAAGGAGTGCCACGCCATCGCACGGGCCTAACGGGTACGCTGCAATGCCATTCAGGAAGGACATACTTAACGGTAAAAGTAGAAAAGTCACATGAAACTTCAAGTCATCTGTATCTGTCTTATGTCTCTATTTCCTCATGCCTCTGCGTGTCTTCTGCATTCCTCTGTTATGTCTTAGCTGCGGCCGCGTGTTGTTGCTCTACGAGAGACATACGTCATCCGCTCTCACATGCCATTTTCACCTTCACCTCCAAACCCAAATCGAGAAAAAAAAAGAGGGCAAAAAAGAATCAACTCAACCCCCACCCAGCATCTGCTGACCGACGCCCACTCCGAATCGAACGGCGCGCCCTCCTGAGTTCAGCCCTTTGTGTGACAAATCCATCTCTTGAGTGTTTTTTCCCATTACCAGAGTCACTTTTGGTTTTGATGGACATGTTGTCTGTTTTTTCTCTAGGTTTTTCTAATCCGTGCAATGCACTCTATGTACCCGTCAGGAGCCCACCCGAGTCCGCCAAGTGGAGGAGAGTTGATGGTGGATGGGGTAATGTTGGGGTTTATGTCTTCAGGTAAAGGTGGGTCTTGCAGGTGCTGATAATGGGTGGGCTCAGGTGAGAGAGGGTTTCTGCAGGGTGGCGGGGCTAGGCAGACGGCGGGCTGGGTAGAGGGCGAGGTGAAGGTGAGTCCCAGAGCCGGTATGGCGTGCACAAAGAGGTTGCGCCCGTATCTGAACTGTTTGGAGTTCTGCTAACATTAAGATGTTGGTTAAGGAGTGTAGTCGGGCCTCACATGATGGTGATAACATGGCAAAAGCACACGCAAGCGAACATGAGCGGTCAGAAATAGGTCCAACATAGTGAAGTTAGTCAGGTAAAGTTTCTATTTGCCAAGGTGCACCCAGGTAAGTGGGCTTTCCGTCAGAGGCAGGTACCATGATGACAAGATAGGTGGCTACATGTTCAGGAAGTCGCGACTAGACTCATGGCACGTGCTTGTCCTTTGCCCAATAGGTATCAGCATCCTAATACTACACCATGCTAACGATCTTTGTTTCCGCCTTGCCTTACGATCTAGCGGCATCAGAAGAAAATCATTTTCTCGACCGCTTCCGTCGCCATCATTGCGGGTCCTCTCACTCCATCCTCGTAAGCCGCCACACCAATCACAGCACTAGTCTTGCAATTCGGCCTTCACCTTGATTGTGACTTGCCATAAACGCGTTTCTGCCCACAGCCAAGTTGCAGACCATCATCTCGTATAGCTGCAATTGTTCGACAATCCCTTCCTCACCTCTCCTCACACCACCCTCCGCGATTCAAAACCACCAGGACGATAGTGCTCACGATGGGGTCACAGACCGCTGCACAAGCTTGGAAAATCAACACTATGAGGCAAGTTATTTGCTAAGACACTCAATTGTTGACGCTGACTTATGAAATTTAGCTTCGATCCGTCTTCCTTCCTGACTGTGCGCGTCGGTTCCGAAGGTTCCCAACAGAATTTCCTGCTCCATGAAGGCATTATGCGCAAACGCTCTGAGTTCTTCAACCGCGCGCTCAGTGGCAACTGGTCCGAGAAAAAGGATCGACTTGTTGAGCTACCTGAGGATGACCCCGAGATCTTCGCTTTCTACATCAATATCATCTATACGGGCGCAATATCCAGTCAAACAGACAATCACAGGCTGCCGAATAACGAGCTTCAAGCATACTTTTTAGCCATCGTCAAGTCCTACATCCTCGCCGAGAAGCTGCAGGACAAGCAAGCCAAGAACACCGCTTTGCTGACTCTTCACACCGTGACCGTACGTCTGTCGTTCCCCGAAAGACTACCCAATGCCGAGATCGTCGATTTGATGTACAAGAACACTTCGAAAGGCAGCCTTGGACGACGCCTCATGGTCGACATTTGGAACAACAACTACACGAAAACCGTCCTTGAGAAAAGCGAGAGTATCTGCAAAGACTTCTTCGTCGATCTCGCCTATTCAATCTATGGTCAACGTCAGAAAAAGCCAAGTGTTGCATGGGATATGCCTTCCACGACATATGAAGAGGAACTTTGAGGATTCTGCTGCGGACGCTATGTGCCGACTTGTACCGTACATACGTGGAGTTTGCGGTCGGCAGAAGGGATGGCATTTGTCGATGATCGTTCGATGATAGTATTGCGACAGTTGAATGGAGGCAAGGAGACACGTAGCGTGTGTGGTCAGTCAGATTGCATGGGAAGTATACAAAGCTTGGCGGAATTGATTTTCGCTTCTAAAATGATGCAATGTCCCTGACCTTCAATACCCTACGAGACTTAAATCTCAACGCTATATGCTCGCTTTCCGGCTTCGAATCTCCATTGCTCTTATCCCACATCATATTGAAAACTCCGAGTGTGGTGCGATACTTTGGTTCATCCACTTCATCCCATGGTACTGCGGTAATGCGAAGCAGACGAGCGACTTAAAGCTTTCGGAACTCATATGTACATATTCAAGCAGGTCCTCTCGGAGACAAGAGTATCGTCAATACAAGGGCTTGAAGACTTCGGTTCTGCGCCTCCTTTCAGTACGCATTTTGAGTTTTTCACTGATTCCATACCTCCCAATGGCTAGCTGTAGGCGGTCGCTCACCGCGCGCAGACACCAATGATGTCACTCGAATTCACCAGTCACCGCACCAGATACGGACTAACAAACTTGCCGCTTCGAGCTTTTTTCTTTCGCTTGCACCCAATTCAAAAGAGTCTCCTTGCAAAAGCCTCCCGCCATCTCCTACTTCCCCAACGTTAATCAGGCCACTCTGCCATCATCGTAGCGGCCATGGCGACTCTCCGAGCAGGCGTGAATACAGCAATGAAGTGAGTATTCGCATGCCAGATTTCCAGAGCGAGTAGCTGATTATAGCAGCTTCGATCCATCCAAGTTCGTCACAGTCATTGTGGGCAAAGAGCCAGATCAACAGCGGTTTTCAGTCCATGAAGGAATCATGTGCGCACGCTCTGAATTCTTCCAACGTGCCATGAACGGCAACTGGACAGAGAGCAAAGAACGCATCATAAGGTTGCCCGAGGACGACCCACAAATTTTCAACATCTACATCAACTTTCTCTACACGGGTTACGTTGTTACCAACGCCATCGAAGAACCGAAGACTGCCACTCATATCGTGGGCGAGATGCACGTAATCGGCCGGCTTTATGTGATCGGTGAGAAGCTTCAGGACAAGGCTACGAAGAACTCCGCCATCAAAAGTCTGCTGGAGGTCGCTCAGGAGAAAGACACGAACGGGAAGATCTACAGTCCATCAATCGAGACCATAATCAACGTATACCGGGGCACGTGTGCTGGCAGTCTTGGTCGTCGCCTCTTGGTAGATTCCTGGGTCAAAATACACCCCGAATACATGGCCAAGAACGCGGAGACTCTGCCCAAGGAGTTCCTCATTGACCTCGCCGTCGCACTTCTGGCCGACCGTCCAGACAACAAGCCGAAGCTGGCTACGATGGCAAATATGAGCAACTACATGGAGAAGATGGATTGATTCCCCACAGAGGCACCAAACACTTTCTATTGGCTTGAGTCAACCGCAGCACAGATTGAAGCAGAGCAAGCATTATTGGAAGATCTGCAGTGCTCGATCATGTGACAGGAGTCGAGGTCGCCGACCAGGACATTCTTGAAACTATTGCCGCGATACGTGTCAACGAAACGCAAAACGGGAAAGCGAAGCAGGTTACTAGTCAGAGGCTACAACTGGGTGCACAGAATTTGGTTCAGCCTCAGGTGGTCCGAATCATTTCCATCATGTATGAAAACGAAGGCAAACTCCCTATACACACCATAGTGACTCATCATTGTATTCACAGACCTGAGATAGCAACAGACCGAATGACATTAACAACTAACTCCCTCATCCAAACACCATGGAAAGCCCAAGTCTCATACATCGTAAATCGCAGACCCTCAAGCAACAGGATCCAACCACCGCTCAAGGCTTTTTCAATCGACACAAGCCGCCGAGAAAATATGCAAAGAACAACAACAGCAACAAATTACCTCCTTGCAATCCATGTAAAAGGAAAGAAGGCACGTCCCCAAGAACACCTATCAATGAATAACGCCAAAAGCTCAATCATATGCATATGTGCCAGCTAATACTGGCTGTTCCAAACGTGTATTATAATATTCCCGATGAAAAGGTGGATTCGTCGTCGTCAGAGGGAGGTTGCGGCCAGTGGTCGGGTTTGGGGATTGTGCTGCCGGCTTCGCCGTCGTTAGGTTTGCGACCCCATACTACGTAGCTGGTAGATGTTAGTGTGCGTCTCTCAATCTCGTCACATGTTCAACAAGCGACTTACAAGTTGTAGTAGGCGTGCACGCTCTCGTCTGCGAGCGAGTTCCTCACATGCGCGAGGTAGACTTCGACCTCTGCTGGCGTCCAGCCCAGGCCGGTGACGAAATATTCGATCGTCCATCCGTGCAAACCGACGAGCATATTCCACATGCAAAACTTGCCGTACATGTTCGACTTATTTTCTTTCGGCCATGGATTCACGGGCAGAGCGAAGACCTCCTCGTGCACATCCACGAAGCCGGCTTCTCGGTACCACCTCTTTAATTTGTCCGCGATGCGCAACGGCCGGCCCAGGATGTGCGCGGCCTCGTCCTGCAGATTTGACCATTCAAGTAGCGGGTAACTTTCCGGCATGCCTTCGGCACACTGGAGCTTGGAAAATATCTCCTGCGACTCCATCCATCCACCAGGTTTCAGATTGTTGAAGCCCTTTTGTATGATTTCTCGGAAATCTGTGAAGATGCCGTGCATGAAGCGTGTGTGGACGTAGTCGTAGGTATAGGGTTGTTTCTCGGGGAACCACCATGATGTTTTGAGGATGTTGTCCAGCCAGAAGTCGACGTTGTTGGGCAGTCTGTCTTTCTTGGGTTGGATCGCGGACAAGTCGATGCCTTCAACCTGATGTCTGGTTAGCGTGGCCATGAAGAGAGCATTGCATCGCGTACCCGCCAATGTTTTGGAGCCTTCTTTGCTATTGCTTGTCAGTCGTGTTTCCACAAGGAGCTATAGACACAGCACATACCCATCGCGATGCACCATTGTCCGGTGCCACAGCCAATGTCCAGCATCCTCGACGATCTCTTTGTGTTCAGCGGCGCGAAGTAGTGTTTTCCTTGTAGAAGTCCTGTTATGATGTGATGCTCCCATTCCAGGCGATATATCTCGAGCTGTGGGTATGCGAGTCAGCGAAAGGGCGATGGGCGAATATGGGTTCTAGCAGCGCGTACCTCGTCGTTGGGGAATGGGTAGGCTGGAATCAATTAGCTAAAGTCAGGCGAAGAGTCGTCTGGTGGGAATGCGTACCTCCAGCATGGAAGCCGTGGTAAGTTCGGCCGTACTTCTTCTCGACGCCATACATGCTTGGCGTGAGGCTTTGCACCTCGCTGCGATGTGTAAGCGCATGGAGTATACGAGGGGGGAGGAGGAGAGGTACAAGTCGTTGAGTTCTCCATCTGACGGTGCATCCGACTACATATCGCGATTAGTTTGGAGTGCTCGGTACGTATGTAGCGGGGAGAGCAGGCGGCATACATCAGCTGGGTCGGCCGTCGAGTGTGTGAAGTCGGTGAGATTGGTGGCACTGGACAGCGGGCGCAGCTTGGTCTTGCGCACACGGTCAGTCGCAGAGGTGGCCATGATGTCTTGGGGATGCGCTACGGTGCGCTACAGGACTCGCCCCGAGTCGTGTCGAGGAAGAGGCGAAACCCAGCGGAATGGATAATGTCGTTCCCAAGGCCCTGGCCTTGGAGGGCGCGCCGACAGCGAAAGCGCCGACGGGAGGGCTAGGGGGCCAGTCAACCCCGCAGTCCTCGCAACCTCGACCGCCCTGTCTGCTGCCAGCTGTTGCAAAGACCCACAGCCACGCCCAACGTGTCGAATGACACCGACAGCTTTACGCCTCATCCTGCCAGTACCGAGTGCGTGGCTTTGGACATGCGTCACTCCTTCCGAGAGATTGGGCGACCAGCTCACCGACCATCCCCCGGGTGCACACCATCAACACGCCCGTCAATGTCTCAATGCCACCATTGTTGTCTTCTTCCTTTGCCTCCCGGGCGCTAACACGACCTAAACCTCGGCTCCTGACCCAGTTCTGAGAATGAGACCTGATCTGCCTTGCTCTGCTGTGTGTTTGGGGCACAGTTCTCTAGCGTACACAAAGGACTTTCCCAAACGGCTTCCAACCTGCGGCTATCGGAATTCCAAATGATTCCCTGCCATTGTCTCTATCATGGTTTTCGTCTTCGTCTGGTTCAGCCACTCGTAGCTCGGCGTTTCCGGCGCCTTGGCCGCGTGAGCTGCATTGGAAGGAATGCGTCGGGCGCATCAACCAATGTATCGGATCCGGGGAAGGCCGTGTCAAATCATGCCATTCTGACCAAACTGGCGGTTTACCTGCCACTGCGGCCTGGACCGTTGGACCGTTGGGGAGAAACGTTCGCAAAGCTGACAGAATCCGTGCCGACCCTCACTAGTATCCCAGCGATGTATATGCAAGGTCTGGCTGTTGAGAAGTGCATCATGTCGGGATACTTGCTGCAAGGAGAAATCGCCGAGGTATTAGAATTCTGCCACTTTCACAAGAGAGGCCTGGTCAGCATGCAATGCAATCACCAAGTCTGTTGGAGTCGCAGATAGGCGTGGTGGTGGATACAAGAATCAGCAAGGAGACGACCGCTTTCGTACGAACCACTCAAACCGTAATGCGCATGTTGTGGGGGTGCGTAGTATGTGGCAGTCGTTGCGGGCTTTGAAAGCGTTCTGCCTAGCATCATCCAACGGCGTCCCCTGCTATGCCATACACCGTTCGGCGACCATGCATCAAAGCGATGAGCTGTCATGCATGTGCATCTTGAACAAGTCGGCCATGCATGGTAGTCTGTGGTGTAGGGTCGTAAGTAGCGCGCTTGGCGGAGATGCTAAGAGCTTTCTATCAGATGTGGGCAATGTTGACTTGTTTGTATCGAGTAAGAGTGACGAACTTTTAGTGCTTAAC